TTTTTTTAAAAAAAATAAATATTAGAGCATATTCTTTCTGGAATCGGCAACAAAGGGTTTCCCATCAGGCATTGTAAACTTTGAAATGCAATTTGGTGTTTCATTAATTTTAATGGCCATAACTGTACCGCAACTGCAATGATTATTTTCAGGGCTAGTGCCATTAGCCACACTTACATGGTGCTCAGGTTTCCTATTACTGCAACATAAGCTCTGTAGAAGAAGTTTAATTTAAATTTTGGGAGGTTTGTTGCAAGTGCTCTGTTTTGTATTAAATTCTTTCCTGAGATTGGAAGCTGGCCTAATTGCTGCGGAGACCTATGTGCAGCTTTGCCTCCTGAAATATTGTTAATGTTTTTTTGACTTTCCTAATTTTGTACGACTGTGAAAAGGCCTGCTATGTCTTCATATGCATCATCATAGATTTAAAATATTATGAATTATGAATACCATCTGCCTTTGCTTGGCCTTAGATAGCCTCTTCTGAGTTGAAGCAAAGTCCCATAACATGCATGACCTATGTTCCTGGACGGAGCAGACTTATTTGCCAAGGATGTAGCAAACATTCTCTTGCCTGTCCTATGGAAGAGCTTTTATTTTTGCCCATTGCAGGCTTTTTTTTAACCATTTTTTTCAATCACATCCCTGCATAAGAACAATTTTGCCCCTGGCTTAGTAGAAGGAATAGAAAACTCCTCATTTGCTTCTGCACTGTCTCTTCTTCATGGCTTGTGGGGAATTGGCCTAATGATGTCTTTTTAAACCCTCTCTCATGCCAACTCAGAGGAAAAGATTATTCTCCTTTTAGCTGATAGGTTGCCAGTTATCTCCAAAACTGATTTAATGCAATTGCCCTTGCTATCAGATATCAACTGTTGGCAGTTTTAGTCACTATGTTACTTTTTATTGTAATTGCAATTGCTTACTACAATTCAATTATTCACAATGAGTTTTTCTGTTTTCCAACATGTTTGTTTTGGTCTTTGGCCATGAAATAACTGCACATTCTTGATCTCACTACAAGGTCATACAGATATCCTGCCCTGTACCTGGATGATCTTGCATCTAGATCAGTGTTTCCCAAACTTGACAATTTTAAGGCATGTGGACTTCAACTTCCAGAATTCCACAGCCAGCGTTGCTGGCTGTGGAATTCTGGAAGTTGAAGTCCTCATGCCTTAAAATTGTCAAGTTTGGGAAACATTGATCTAGATCAAGAACTATATATGTGTTTATTTTTGAGATCAGTGTCTGTGTGAGAGCCTTGTTCACTTGGAGGCGGAATGGGAACTATTTTGAATTGATGGCTCCTTTCTTGAGTTTTCCAGTGACTAAATTGAAAGGGGAAAAGATGATTTGGAATATGTGGTGGCGCTCAAGAGCAATTGGTGGGGGAGGGGGAAGAGTCAAATACATAATTATAGCAGGTACAACTGCATAGTTGAAGCCCCATTCCTTTTTCGTGTATGTTGCATGTGTTGCATGCACATAAAAAGAGCAGGGTTCTATTGTGTAGTCCCACCCATCATATTTATTTTCAAAAACCTATGAGGGTGTCCCTGGTTGTTTTTGAGCAAGCAAGAAAAGACACCTTTGGTTGAAGGAGATGCCAGCAGATGCTCTTTGCACTTATATTCTAAATTATCTTTTTCTCTTTGAACCCAGATTACTGAACAAACTTAAAGCCTTCCTTTTAAAAGTGGGAAGAATCAAAGCTGAATTAGAAAATCTTTATCAAACTCTTTATATTGCATTTTTAGACATAGATCCACAGGGATTCCCCCTCCCCCAAACTTAATTGCAGTGTGGAGATTTTTTTATCTTGATAGAGTATGTAGCTCATGTTTAAACAAAATTGCTTTTTCCTTCTCCACTTGAAATGCCCTCCTTTATATTATCATTTCCCTTCTAGATTTTGACATGACGGTATCTCATGGAAATGACAGAACGTCAGCTAGGTGTCTGTTGGTTTCCCTGATAAACATCTGCTTATTTTGTTTGTGTTGTGTTCATTGAATGATCAGCCTTGTATAAACATTTAATTTTGAAATAACATCCAGGAAATTTTCAGACACTTTATCAGTAATAGGTATATTTGATCATATAGAATTTTTTTTGTGCACTCCCCACTGAAATGAATGGGAATTGTACAGACGCAGCACTGGGATTTTGTTGAATCACCCTTTGGCAGAATGCTAATTATGTTTCTGAAAAATAATAGACAAACAAAGGAAGATGTCTCCCACCCACCCCATAGCAGACATAGCCTTTTATGTTAAAAAAAAAAAAAATAGCCTCAGTAGATTCAAGCTTTCCATACCAAACAAAACAGTAACATCTAGCTAATACTTATATTAAATATTTTATTGTTAAATGTTATAAATTAAATATATTAAATATGAAGTTATAATATTGGGAGTTCTTTCTGTCTTTCTGTTTTGTCTCCTCCTGTCTGTCTTTTTAACCAGTTGTAGTTACCAATTCGAGTGGAGCAAACTTGAAATACAGACACGGACACAAGTATATGCATCTCTCCTTCATACACATAAACATTTATCTGTGATGAAGAGCATCACCTTGATTGTTCCAAGTGGAGTTTGCATTTTAGACTGCTTTTATTTACTTTGTCTAAGTAAATAAATAATTTAGGATTATTTAGATAAAGTAAAAATATTATTTTGACAAACCAACAAACACACCCTCCAGCCATAAAGGGATATAATGTGTTGTGTGTTTTAGAGATATGTTTGGTGATCTCACCTGAGTCTGAGTTTCACCTGGTGTGTGATTCAGATACTTTCACCCCCCCCCCCCAATGTGGTACAGTCCCTTTGTAAATTTGTGGGAGCGTTTTCATGCCAGCATGTCATATCCCACGTCTGGCTCTTGATGAAGCGTCGTCCTTAGGGTTGACATTTCCAGGTTAGTTCCTTGTGCTTGGATTCTGGTGACATTTATTCTTATTTGAATACTCATGAAACTAGCACTGAGACCTCTTCAGGTAAGGCCATAACGGACTAACATAGAGCAGAGTCACAATCCTTCTTGCTGGAAAGGTGAAATAATGAGTATAATTATATCAGAAGGGCATAGTTGATAGTAGTGTCTCAGATGTGTAAGAGTCTCCTAGAGGTTTTTTTGGTATGTTTCTGATTTTTTTTTTTAATATCTGGACTTTAAAGCAGGGTTCATCTTCTTTCTTATTTTTAAGCATTCAAAGGATGAAGCTTTTTCATTCCAAAACAAACAGATGCCCAGGCCTGTATTTTACTTTTTTTTTTTCAACCTAGCTATGTGTTGAAAGAAATTATATAGAGGGGTTCATGATTCTTCATGATCGTCCGTCGGCAGGACAATTATCCAAAATCTGAATAGATCAAGAAGGGGACTGGTTGACAGAGGGGAGATCAATTTTGAAATGGCTGAATTACACTGGGAATTGTGGAGGAAAAGAATTCCCCAATACATCCTTAGGGAAATTAAGTAGTGGCTTCAAATGTTGGTGACTGTTCCATTTTGAGCCCTCTCTGTGCCAGAATGGGGTAACTTGTTACAACCAACTTGCTATGACCAACTCACCACAGCCAACTCACCATAGGACAACTCATCACGGGACAATTTAACAGTTCAATTTCATTATTTCATTATTCATTATTCATTATTTGCGAGACCGCCTACTACCTCATAGTTCCCTACGTCCGGTTAGATCCCACAGGCTGGGCCTCCTTCGGGCCCCGTCGGCCAAGCAGTACCATTTGGCGGGGCCGCGAAGGAGGGCCTTCTCTGTGATGGCGCCCACACTTTGGAACCAGCTCCCCCCGGAGATTAGGACTGCTCCCACCCTGTTGGTCTTCTGTAAGCTACTTAAGACCTGGCTTTTCCGGCAGGCCTGGGGTTTATAAAACCTGACCCCTGGATGACTGTCTTTGCATTGTTTGTTTTGTTATGTTTTATGTGTTTTTTATTGTTAGCCGCCCAGAGTCCTTCGGGAGTGGGGCGGCTTATAAATTTTAAAAAATAAAATAAAATAAAATTTAAAATAAATAAAAGTTATTTTAATTTTTGTCATTCACATTTCATTCGGTCCCTCCTTTTGCCTCCTTTAATGATTCTGTTCCATCATTCCTTTGATATTAGTGTCCTGCAGCAAGTTGTCCCGTGTTGAATTGGCCATGGCGAGTTGTCCCATTGCAAATTGGCTGTGGTAAGTTCGCTGTGATAATTTGGCCCTAGTGAATTGGCTGTGGCGAGTTGGCCACAGCGAATTGTCATAGTCCCCTTTGTGCTGAGCATATGCAGCCAAACCCTGTACTTCCCAGTGTCTGTATTGATTGATTATGTGTCATCAAGCCTGTGTTGACAGCAGTTCTCTAGGACTATTCCTCCCCCCTCCAGTCCTTCAGATCTTGTAAAGCAGGGGTTTCAAACCTAGCCCTTTTATAACTTGTGGACTTCAACTCCCAGAATTCCTCCCTTCAATTCCCAGAATTCTGGGAGTTGAAGTCCACAAGTCATAAAAGGGCCATGTTTGAAGACCCCTGTTGTAAAGGATCACTCCCTGCTTCTGTAGTTGATTCCCTGTGCCTACTTACATACAGACATTCATTTATTATGGTACATTCCATTATTTTGTTTATTAAAGTTATTCCTACATTGCCGCAATTAAAGAAAAAGTTTCAGCAGCCTACAGAGAAAGGATGTTCTGCATGCCTTACAATTGCTGCGTGTCCTTTTTTTAAAGTAATCAGTCTAGCCTTCCAGCTATATTGTTCAGCTAGAACTCCTTAGTCAGTGTTAAGTTACTTCAAGAGTCTCCCATCTTCCATTCTGAAGCAGCCCAGCTACTAATACAGAAAAGGAAGCATATCATAGCTGTTGAACCTTCAAATAATATCAATTACTTCACTCTTTGGGCATATAGGCCCACCAGGATTTTCATGCCAACCTCTTAAAAAAAAAACCCAGTTGCCTGTCATCTTCTTGTGCTTTCTCTTATCCAGGTCTCTCAGGCAGCTGCAGAGCTTCAGCAGTATTGTATGCAGAATGCTTGCAAAGATGCTTTGCTCGTTGGCATTCCGGCTGGAAGCAACCCATTTCGAGAGCCCAGGTCCTGCTCCTTATTCTGAAGACAGGTAGGCCATAAGTCCATGGCTTTGTCAAATGGTGCTCTCTCTCTCTCTCCCACTCTAATATGTACATTGTATTTATGAAGTTGATTTACACAAATTTGGGGACTTGTGTGGTACATCCCTTTAATTTTTTTCCTAAAAACACGAGCAGGAATAAAGAGCTGTCCTTGGGGACCGAAGATAACAATGATGAAAATCAAGTATTCTCTTTATCCTGTGTACAAAGTAATAACAAGAGAATGTAGACTGTCTATTTCTCCAGCATGATGTATGGAGAATCCACCAATGGGTTGACTCCTGCCCAATCAGACTAAGTCAGTCAAAGTTGTTACTCCCGGCCTGCTCTGGGACCTCCCATTCTCGACTTACTCTGTTCGCCCAGACGGACGTGACAATCTTGACTCCCAAATCCTTTCTCAAGAAGGTTTGGTTTAGGTTAAATGTATCCCTTCCATTACCCCATTGGTGAATTCTCCTTGTTTTTAGGAGCTTTCAGAGGCTACTGAGACTCTGAAAACCTCCTTTCAGCAGAGGATCCAAGCCTCTGCCATCTGAGGGCTCTGGGCTCAGAGGCCTTCAGTCAGTTGTCGCCACCATTTTGTGGCCGTTAAGCTGTCCATTTCTGGAGCAGCTAGATCGCTTTAGACACACTGCTAATTAGGACAGCTCAATTTGACCAGCTGCCTAGTTGCCCACTTGATCGTCGCTTATCAGACGCGATCAGAGCAATTCCAAAGTCTGCCTTTTTTCCCTTTCGGCTAGTAACATTGGCCAGGGAATTCCCGCTGTTTTTGGGAGGTGCCGCAGCTGCCGCACCTCTCAGCTGCTCAGCGCGGATGGCTGGGGCTCTCCGCCCTGCCATAGCGCGTTCCGGTAATTTTTGCTTTGGCTGAAAGCCTTGGCTGCTGCTAGAAAGCACTGCAGCTGGCACGCCTATCAGCTGTTTGGCGCGGATCACTAAACTCTCTGTTGGCAATTGCAGTCTTGACCTAGTAAATCAAGAGGGAGACTGTTCCATGTGCTTTTTCTAGCATTTTGGGGTGGTGATTGACCACCTTAAGCCCAAACTCCTCAAACTTCAAGGGTTTGCATTTCCCTTTCTCAGCTGCGTGGCTGCCATTTTGGCGCGCCGTGAGGCAGCCGTTACTTGCACTTAAGCAGATTTTTTTTGTTTAAGGCTTCCAACTCGAAGGAGGCTGGGTCTGTTACAAACAGCGCCCGTTTTAAACGGCCATTAGACAGATTGGTCAGCCAGCGCTTGCCAGCTTCCTCGGCTTACAGTTGTGGGCACCATTTTGAATTCCTTCACTGTACTCTTTCCTTCCCGCTCGTTGTGAGTGCCATTTTGGTTGCCTTATGACAGCGGCTGAGCCTCACCCACTTACATTTAGCTCAAGGACACGATATACAGGCTTCGGTCCACCATCTGAATTTCCTTGTCACACACCTAAATTGCAGAGGACCTACATTCTTATCGGGCCTCCACAAGGCCAGGTCCCTCAAGGTCAAGGGGTTTCCCTTACAGTACCACAGCTTTTTCCTTCCTATGAAACTGTAATCTGCACACGGTGTACTGGACTAGAATCAGTCTCCAGATTCCGAATCAACGGACAAGCCTTCATTTCAAACCTTTATGCCACTTAGAGCCTCATCAACTTAGCTGGTCTGCCACTTTGCATCTAGTAGTTGCTCTCTAAGCCCTGACCATTGCCACTAGTTGAGTCACTCGAGATTTTGTCACTGCTCCTCAATTCCATCTGGACATAAGACTGTGATTCACGAACTGTACAGTCAGTGATGTGCACTCTAACGAGCCCAGCATGACTCCGTTTTGCCAGTGGGCTAGACCATGCTGATCCACGTGCACGCCAGTCCCATTATGGTGGGGAACTGGTAATCTCTTGCAGACCGTATTCAGCACTCTACTGGAACTTTCTCAACTCATTATGGCAGACAACACTGCGCCATAGGCTTCTGTGTTGATCAGACAACCTAAACGCAAGTCCCCTTGCCAAGAAGCCGCGGCTAAGGTAAAGGTCAAATCTAAATCTAAGTCTGGCAAAGAACCAAGTAAATCTGCTGAAAAGTAGGCCAATCATGCACATCGTGCTTTGGAGAAGCAATTCTCCTGGGCACAACAATTGGCGGTCTCCAGAGCGAGAGCCCGAGCAGGTCGCTATGCTGACCTTTGGTCAGGCATTTCCACCTTCTTCGGGGACGGACTGGGACCCCAGGATCCCCACACAGAACCTGCAGCCACATTCACTCTGACAGCAGCAGGGCTTCGCCCTTTGCAGGACACTTCATTTATGGATCAGCTGCAGGTCATGATCTCACAGGCGGTCCTTCAGGCGATGGCCTCTGGACACCAGCAGTCAGCTTCCATTCCAGGGCCTTCATCAGCTCCATCCGTCTCAACACGGCCCGGGATGCTCAACTGTCCAGACTCAATCTCGCCTCCTCCCTCCCCGGACAGCAACGTCTTGAGTTCCGCTGACTGATTTCACCGGTGATCAGTGGTCTGACTGTGAAGAACCTCCACAAGATCCTCCTCCCATCATGGAACTCTTTAATGCCATGCTCTTCCCATCTCTTCTGCGCAGGGCATATGCAGCGGGTAAGTTCGGCCCAGGACATAGATCCGCTCTTTTCTGAGCCAGTTATTAGGCACAGCATATCCCTTGTCCCCCCTTGTTTCTTAAGAACATACAAGGCCAATAGGAAGCCCCAAATGCCCCTCCTTCCCAAGGGGCAGCAGAACGCAAGGTGGTAGATATGGCCCCAGTCCTAACAGAGGTGTTGGAGGTATTTAAGGTAGATGAATCCCTAGCTCCTTTGTTTTCATCTTCCAGGCTGCCAGGGGATATTTCTGACGCCCTTAGAGCTGAGGATAAAAAGTCCAAGCTCTCTCTTTGCAGATTGCACTAGGTGTCGGCTTGGGCTGCCAAAGCGGCAACATCCACTTCCTTTTTTGCCAGGGTTTCCCTCATCTGGCGCAGGCAGCTCCAGGCCAGGATTCCCCTGGAGGAAGTGAGGGTACACCAAGATCTGACTAAGCTGGTGGCAACTTCAGAGTACATGATGGACGTATCCATGTACGTCATCAGACATTCTGCCCGAGCCATGGCCTCCGGCATAATCGCATGACAATTGCTGTGGCTCAAGAACTGGAGGGCGGAGGGTAGGCATAAATGGCGAGTAGCCACAGCTCCATTTAGCAGAGGACGTCTCTTTGGTGAGGAATTAACCCCCTATCTAGTTGAAAACAGGCAGAAACAAAAGGTGCTTTCTCACCTGATCAGGAAATCAAACAGACGGTACTTTCTTTATGCTCGTCGTCAATCCTTTCGAGCTAGGACCAGCCCCAGAGGCTGGTTAACCACCCCGGACCTTCTTTAACAAACCGGACTGCTCCTTCAACGGCGAGTTATAGAGACAGGTCCAGACAACAGAACCAGGGTAAACAGTCCTTTCGTGACAGGGGTGGCTGCCCCTTTCGTCGCTCCAAGTGACTCAGGGGAGTCCTCTCCCATTGGCGGCAGACTCACTCTTTTTATCCACCAATGGGAAAGCACGATCACGGACTATTGGGTGCTCCACACCATAAGAGAAGGGCTGTCCCTAGAGTTCGTCACCATACCCATAGATCGTTTTGTCCAATACTAAGGAACCCAACAAAGAAGGACCTCATGGTGGAGGCCATTCAGCATTTATTAAATATAAAGGCCATAGAGGGGGTACCAGAGGGGCAAGCAGGGAGGGGATATTACTCCATCCATTTCGTAGTCCCAAAAACCTCAGGGGGATGGAGGGCGATCCTCGACCTCAAGGGCCTGAACTCAAAAGTTCAAAATGCAGACGCTCCATTCCATCTTGGGCAGCATCAGGCGAGGGGACCTCATGACATCCATTGACCTCACAGAGGCGTACCTTCATATCCCCATCCGTCCGGACCATCGACGATTTCTGAGGTTTTGTTATGCCAACCGTCACTTCCAATACAAGGCTCTACTGTTCGGCCTCTTGTCAGCCCCCAGGGTCTTCACCAAGATCCCGGCCGTTCTCGCTGCACACTTGAGGTTGGTACCAGTACATGTCCAGTGTTACCTGGACGACATCCTGATTCAATCGTCCTCTATTCCAGCTGCCCAGTCGGACCTGGCTTTAACAATCAGGACACTTCAGGATCACGGGTTCTCGATAAACTTTCAAAAAAGCCAGACGGTTCCCTCAACCTGCCTTTTCTACCTGGGTGCGGTGATAGACACAGACTCTTGTCATGTTTACCTGTCAAGGGACCTTCAGGACAGCATACGAGACCTGATCCTCAGGGTCCACAGAGAGCATGTAGTGGCACTAGCATTGCTCTCCCAGCTGCTGGGCAAATTAATGTCATGTATAGCAATAGTTCCTTGAGCCAGACTACACTTGAGAACTCTGCAATGGTTCTTGCTCCCCTTTCAAAGACTGGGCACCAGCTCCTCTAGCCAACGAGTCAGGGTTCCACCTCAGGTCCTCCAATCCCTCATTTGGTAGACCTCCCCAGCCATAAACAAAGGGTCGCTGTTCAAGGAGCCTCCCCGAACCATCCTGACCACAGATGCCAGTCTGTTCAGCTGGGGAGCACACCTCCAATCTCAGTTGGCGCAGGGCCGATGGTTGTGATTGGACCTGAAGCACAACATCAGTTGGTTGGAGCTCAGGGCGATCCATTTGGCTCTCCGCCACTTCCGCGCCAAGATTGTAAGGCAACATGTGCTGGTCCTGACAGACAATGTGGCGGCGAAGGCCCATGTCAACTGGCAAGGGGGCACCCATTTCAGGTCCCTCATGGCGGAGGCTCGTCTACTGGGTTCTTGGGCAGAGGGCAACCTTCTTTCCATCAGGGCAGAGCACATCTTGGAAGAGGCGAATCGACAAGCAGACTTTCTCAGCAGGTTAACAGTGGACCATTCAGAGTGGCGGCTCCACCTGAGTCTCTTTGCAGAGATCGCAGAGAGGTTTGGCCAACTGATCCTGGACCTCTTCGCCTCCCCAGAGAATGCTCAACTTCCCAGATTTTTTTCCGGTTCCCTTCTCCGGGGGCAGAGGGGACAGATGCCATTCGCAGTCCATGGCCACGGGGACTACTGTACGCCTTTTCTTCTCTCTCTCTGATTCCGGCAGCCATCAGAAGGATATTGCAGGAGCCGGCGGACGTAATCTTCATTGCTTCACACTGACCGAGACGACCATGGTTTGCAGACCTCATGAGCCTTGCCATGCCCCCCCCCCCGTGGAGGATCCCCCCAGGTCGCATAGCCCTAATTCAGGGGGCTGCACCATCCAGAGCCCCAATGGCTCCAACTAGTCGCCTGGCGCTTGAGCGCCATACCCTGACACAAGAATCATACTCGTCAGGCGTGATTGACATAAGCCTCCAGGAGGCCGGCAACTAATTGTATTTATGATCACACTTGGTGGAATTTCTGCCAATAGTGTGACAGAACTCACTTAGCTCTCTCACAAGTGACCATCCCTAAGGTCTTGGACTACTTATTAGAAGGCATCAACAAGGGCTTAACGCCCAACACAATCTGCAGACAGGTGGTGGCTCTATCCATGGTGCTCACCTGGGATAAGTCAGAGTCATTATCTCAGCACCCCATGGTCCGCTCCTTTCTCAAGGCAGTCACTAACAGCAGGCCGCCCATGGTTCACAGATATCCCTCCTGGGAATTACCACAGGTTCTCCAGGCCCTCACTAAGTCTCCCTTCGAACCCATCAGAAACTATAATCTGCGGTCCTTGTCACTCAAGGTCGCTTTCTTGGTAGTCATCACCTCTGCTAGATGCATTTCAGATCTAGCGGCTCTATCTATTAGGGAGGATTTATGCATCTTTCACGACAAAAGGGTAGTCCTTAGGTTGGATCCTTTATCCCCAAAATCAACTCCATGTTCCACAGGACGCAGGAGGTAATTCTCCCAGATTTTTGCCCTCGGCCGTCACATGATTTGGAATGACAATGGCACACACTGGATGTCTGCAGAGCCTTGCGCTGTTACATCAAGCGGACGTCGGTCTTCCATAGGTCGGAAGCCCTTTTCGTCTCTTTCCAGCCTTCTTCAATGGGTCAGAAGATGTCTGCCTCTACCATAGGCAGATGGATTAGGGCTTGCATAGCGGCGGCGTATTTGTCGCTCTCCCTGTCGGTTTCAAGTCATGTGATGGCACATTCCACTTGCAGTGCTGCTACCTCTGCTACATGGGCAGCGTAGGCATCTATAGAAGACATCTGTAGGGCGGCGACATGGTCATCACCTTCTCCGTTTATACGGCATTACCGATTAGACAAATTCGCTTCTGCAGACCCTCCTTTGGTCGGAGAGTGCTGCAACAGGTAGTGCCTAGACCAGGGACAAAGGCCCCAACTGACTCCCTCCCATAGGGACAGTGGGCTTTGGTATGTCCCATTGGTGGATTCTCCATCCATCATGCTGGTGAAGGAGCGTAGGCTTACCTGAACGTCTTTTCTCAGCATGATGATGGGGAATCCACGCCCGCCCCTCTAGAGGCCAGTTTGGTCCCAGGTTAGGGGGTGATTCTTTTACTTCTCTTGGGAGTCATCACGTTGGACTGTCGTCATTGGCTCTGCCGTCGATACTGGGAGGTCCCAGACCAGGACAGGCGTGACAACTTTGACTGACTTAGTCTGATTGGGCAGGAGGACAGAGTCAACCCATTGGTGGATTCTCCATCATCATGCTGAGAAGAGGTGTTCAGATAAGCGAACGTTCCTTTTCTGCTGAGTTGCTCTCCATTACATAGGAATTATGTGGAGTAAAGTAACTTTTATAACTAAAATTTTGCGACTGTAATCTAATTTATGAAATCTTGAAGGAGATAACATTTTAATAAAATGTTTTTTTTTTCCCCATGTTGCAGGGAAGGTTTTCTGAAAGTCCTCAAGAAGAATCCCAGCGGTCTTCCTTGTTTTCCAAGCCAACAGTTTCTTTATGTAGGGCTTAAACAGTTTCTTTAGATATTTATTAGTCTGCCTGACTGTCTTAGTAAATGGTTAAACCTTTTGCTAATATAAAGCATTTTATAAGGAAAAGCTTTTCCTTTTGTAATTGATTCAATATCCTTTCTTTAATCCTCTGAAATGTTTACATTTAGAAAAGGACAATACCAATGATGCGGTTCTGTTGTGCCCGAATGAAACACGCCCCAGGTACTTTCTTACTAACAGCTTTCTGTTTTCTAATCAGAGATATTTTCAAGCATGTTTGATCAGGCAAATTTGGCCATTTAAGGCTGCAGTTTTACGCACATTTGTTATTTTTGAATAAACGTGATATATTCAACAGGGGAGCTATAGCTCCTAGTTAGTATTATAGAACTTCGGGCATATTTCCATTCTAAAATTGAGGCTCCCTTAAAAATATTTTGTATTGGTTGAAGTATACCCAGTGTGTTAAAAGAAAAGTGCTTCTCTGTTCCAGTTGGTTGAAATGAAGAAGATGTATGTCATATTTAGAGGTATTTACTATAGCCCCTTGAGTGCTCAAGCTCCAATTTTACCCAGGAATATAAGCTTGCTATTCAGCTTTCCAGTGGATTAGGAAGGACAGTAGTGTATAGGAATCTCTCTATATGTATCTTACTCTCCCTTCTATTTTAGAGGGCAAGCACATGGCTGAGAGATATAAGAGGAACCATGTCATAAATCATCTTCCCATTTGAGTTGTGCACAGTGGCCCATTTGCAGCTAATGGGAACTGTCAAGGATTGATAAGCTGCTCCTTCTGCCAGTTTGCAAAGAGGAGGTAAAGTGAGATTAAGGTGCAGGGAGGGGAGATTGAAGAACCTGATCCAATGAGATCAACAAAGGAAGAGTCAGAGAAGATGCACCAACTCCCAGAATAGGACCCACCATCTTTGGCCAAGTCTACCAACCACATGGCTCCTGACCCTCTAGTACGGACAGCCCTTGGGGCTGCATATTCACCACAAAGATCTAATCTTTATCTCTGTGCTTTCCCATAAAATAGTTACCTTGCAGGAAAAGCCTGCTAATTCAGGACATTCCAATGTCACAGACCCCAAAGAACTTTTAAAAACCTGCCAGATGTCTGCAAGCCTTAGGAAAGAAAAGGAACATTGCCCTTCCCCCCCACCCCTTCTTTGTTTTAACCATTCCTTTCTCGTTGACGAAAAGATGCTGCAGTACAGGAGAGAAAACACTTCACATAGAACAGGATGAATATGGACATGCATTAAAAGAGTGTGTGTAAAGAGGCCTAAGAACCATCCATTTATCCTGGATATCTGCATCAAAATGCCTCACTTTGTGCTGGTGTTGACTCCTGCTGAAGTTACAAAATCTATTAGTTTCAGAAGGGGAGAAATCCTGTGCTTTCCAAGATATCCTCTTCAGGTCTACAGGATTATAAGCTTAAAATATGCCTACTTGGCAAATAATCACTGATAACAACACTACAGTACATAACTATAAATTTAGGCAATCTACAAGCAAGGCTTTCCTAGCATTTGCAATATTACTGGAACAATTCACCTTTTTTTTTGGGGGGGGGGGTGGGTCAGGTATCTTTGAGTTTCGATTACCAAGCACTTTTATACACGCTGTTTACTTTTAAAAAGAAAGTTCTTTTTGGTTTGTATTAATATATTAAAAGCTTTAAAAAAATCTTAAATTACTGGGATTTTTTTGTGGCACGAAAACACATTTAATGGGGAGGGGAGGGGGAGTTTAAAATACAAAGAGTCTGACCTGTGTTAGAAAAACAGAAAAGATCACATCTGTCTCAGCTACTTCCAATACATCCATGACAAAAATTAACAGCCTGCCAAGAGAAGTTACTATTCTGCCCATATAGATGCTAATGTCAGTAATTTGCAGAGCTCACAGAGTATTCACTTGTATCCAGCCCACTGAAATTTCCGTATAGATAGTCCTCAACTTACAACAGGTTGTTTGCTGAACATTTGAAGTTACAATAGATCAACCCAGAGCTTCTTAAAAGCTGGTTTCAAAGTTTCAACGGCTCCCCTCCCTATGGTCATGTGATCATATTTTGGGTGCTAGGCAACCAGCCCACATTGATGGTTGTTTACACTGTCCTATGATTTTCAGCACTTTTTTTTTTTGCCACATTTGCACTAATTTGCATGGATGAAAAAAAAAGGCACTGCACGACAGTACTCTTACATTTGAGAAAAGACTTTGATGATGCCTTTTTAAAAAGTTGCAATGTGTATTTTGAGAGGAAGTCAATATAAAAAATCTGATAATTATAAAGAGGACAATGAAGACGAGAGAAAGAGTGTGGAAAGAAAAAAAAAAGATAAATTAACCCAAGAAACTTGCTTGAAATACCGCGTACTTGAGATCAGCAGTTCAAAACACTTTTCTTAAAAGCAATGCAAAACCTGTACAAATAGATAATTGTTAGATTTCAGGGTACAAGCATTATTAATAATAAAATGTTTTTAAAACTTTTTAACTTTTAAAAAACGTTTTAAAGTACACCCTATGCAGTGAACTCTACAGATAAGTGCACTTCTAAGACAGTGATGTCTTCAAGAATGCTTTCCTGAAACAGATTTATGCTTTTCCATAGCTGTTTCCAGTATGGCTCACAAAATCCATCTACATATATGGTATTTCGTTGGACATGTTTGCATTTGATTTGGCATATAGTGTAAACCATGCAGCACCCTGATCGCCATACGTAAGCCTGCTTAATTCACTGTAATCATGTTCTAGTGTATCATCTGAACTAAGACTGGAAATTGGGCCCCGAGACAAATGGCGGAAATGCTTACAAAGTTGACCCACTCCTGGAGCAGCGTCTATGCTGTTCTGGCTGTTTTCATACTCCATGGATTGCAGGGCGTGAACTGGAGACACAATGGGGATAGGGAAGATCTTCAATTCCATTAAAAAACAAAATAGGAAGGGTCAGCCGAGATGACAAAAAAGAGGGAGACTGGCTTTAATCTGTGACCTCAATTTTACCGTGGTTGTCTTCCTTTCTCCAGGGCTGGTTCCAGATCATCCTCTAGTCTAGGCCTCTCCTGCAGAGCTCTATTCTTTCTCCTCTCCTTTGGAACATGTACATGAAACTGCTGGAGGAAGTCATCTGCCAATTTGGGATCCAGTATGTGGGATTGGATAGGGAGGAACTGACTCAGTCATACCAAAATCAATTGGCTAGGGGTGCTCGGGCGATTCAGGTCTGGGGATGTTCTGACCTTGGATGGGGTTGCACTTCCCAATTTAAGGGAGACATGCAATTTTTTGGGGGGGGGGGGTGTCTTCCTGAATGCCCAGAAAGTGAACAGGTGGCAGATATGGCTAAGGAGGCCTTTGCCCAGCTTCATTTGGTGTGCCAGTTGCATCTTCAGAGATTAGATGTGTGAAGGAGTGAAGTTGGTGGCATGTCTGCTCTCTTCAAACATAGCTGTACTCATGCAGTCAAACTCCCCACCCCCCTTCCCACAATCATTCATCCATTCCCTCAGAACTGTACTCACAGGCATTTAAGCTGGTGCTCCAATTGCCTTGCTAACTGAGCCACCTCCTGGTGTTTTCAAGGATGTGTGCTGATGTCCAGAGGCAGCTTCACCCAGGCTTTTGAGCTTAGACAAAAGCAAATGCCAAGAAAGAATGGAAAGGGGGGGGGGGTACAGGAAAGATGAAAGCAAAAGACCTACAGACAAGAAAGCGAAGATTGGCAGCTATTACAGCAGAACTTTCATTCAATTGCCAGGACCACAAGCTTTGGTGGGCAGCATATCTTGGTGGAGGCCTAGTAGGAACTAGAAGAGGAAGAATCACACTGAAATAACACCCCATCCCAACTAGTGCAAGAATGTTTGGGAAAAGATAAATATTAAAGACTTTGAAACTTTAGTTTCAACTTGAGCATTAGAAGAATAAGTATTAAAGGACTGAGTACTAAAGACATATTTTATGTGGCAACATCACCTTGCAAAGGGTAGAAGGGTGGAGCTGATCCATGGGATAACTTTGTTGGGGAAGATGTGTATTGCAATAAAGAATTTTGTGCAGATTTGCTATGCTGTGGTATGCCCGGAGAGGAAAGAACCCTCATGGGGTAAGAATGGGTAAGTGGAAACTTCAGATATCACTCATACCCTGTCATCTCATGGCCTGATTACGGCCATGGGCTCTACATGGACTATCCTTGAAAACCACCTGGCAGTTTCAGCTAGTCCAGAAAGCAGTGGCATGAGCAATGATAGCATGCCTTGTTATCCTCATTTAACACTTCTCTTTGCGAACTGCACTGGTTGCCAGTTTGCTTTTGGGTGTGATTCAAAGTGCTTTTTGCTACCTATAAAGAGCTAAAGGGCCCAGCTATTTGAAGGGCTGCCTGCTTCCTATTGCATCTGCCTGATCAATCTGATATGGCAGGATTTGTGCACTCCATTGATTTATATCTAACTCAAAGTAGAGGACAGGGAAACCTTTTATCTCACCAAAGCAGAGAATATACCTAATAATCCTGCCTGATTTTTTTGTTTTGAGATTTTCCTTAGTCGACTCACTTGACCAGATACTAATCATTTACTGGGATAACAACTGCTATGTAGAACTGAACAGGCAGACTACTAAGTGCTGATGTGTCACATTCTGACAACTGTGGTGGCTCTCTGACCAAACTTTTCCAAAGTCTATGCAATTTCAAATGCATTTCTCTTATGTATAGTGTATATAAATGAATTAGATAAATTATGCATAATTAAACTAGTATTTTAATGTAATTGTCATAAATAGCATCAATTTTTCTAATAAACCCTTAACTTTTATCCTATTCCCTACAATTGCAAAAAGTCCATGTTTATTTTTTAAAAAATAATTACATATAAGATTGAAACAAATTGTAAACAAGTTACTATAAAACAGGGATACTCAACCTTGGCTCTTTTATGACTCATGGACTTCAACTCCCAGAATTCCTGAGCCAGCTAAGCTGGCTCAGGAATTCTGGGAACTGAAGTCCACGAGTCATAAAAGAGCCAAGGTTGACTACCCCTGCTATAAAAGAAGATGAAGTCTGCTACCTTTGTTTTTATGTATTGTACACAACAAAATTCTTAAAAGTGTTAGCCTCCATTTCTTCTAAAAAAACTTGAGACGTGTTTGGCCGTCATGCCTCCTAGGATCTTTTTCAAATGTTAAACGTCTTTTTTTAAGCTGTGGTAATTGCATAACTTCCGAACCTGCCAAAAAAAAAGAGAAATAAAATTAAAAAAGAATAAATCATTATCAAATAAGCAATCTATAACTATACAGATTTAGTTTATATAGTCTATCTCTTAATAAGATAAAATGTATATTCTCAACTCTTTAAAGTCTAATTGTCAGAAGTTATATCAAAAGTTCTTAATTCTGTACATTTATTAGATTCATGCTTGCCTTCCTTCTCAGAAAGAACATTCAAAGAACAGGATATCCTCAGCAAGACGAGTCTTTATCACAATGACAAAACATTGTGACATCATAGCAAAAGCACTACCCATTTACATGCATGTTGTGTGATGACACCAGTACAAAAGGGGAGGAGTTGACGTGATGCGTATTTCAACATTTGCCCCAGCTTGTTTTCCTAGTGCATGCTCATGCCTAAGAAACAAAAAGTCAACTAAAAGATTGGTAGAGGTTTTGCCTAATCTTCCAAAGGAGAAATATACCTGAGCTCTCCTAAGAAGTATATTTATGCATTTTATGTCACTTATACTTTAGAGCAGTGGTTCTCAACCTTTTTAATGCCGTGATCCCCAACTGGTCGTAAGTCGAGGACTACTCAACTGGTGCAGCACCGTTTGCAGAATGGGACTTTTGGCGGGCTCAGCAGGGCAGAGACAGCCTGGACAATTCCTATTGGCTTTTGAAAGCCAATAGAATTAGACTCTATTCAAGAGAGTCTATTCTATTGGCTTTCAAAAGCCAATAGAATAAAAGGGAGTAGCACAACTAAGAAAAAGGGGGGAAAAAATGGCGGACTGTGTTATTTGGCGACCTCCGTGAAATGGTCGTTTGACCCCAAATGGGGTCCCGACCCACAGGTTGAGAACCACTGCTTTAGAGAAATAATATCAAATGCCATTCTAAGCCAGATGCACACAATCTGAAGTTTCAGGATGTTATGTGGTGGCTAAAACCTTCGAGATGTTACCAAATTCCCTTTTAATCTGATATAAATGAGGGGAAAAAAAAATCAATACTTGTTAGAAAATTCATTATAGATAACCCCAACTCTAACCGTTATATCTTCTCTTGGATCAAATCTTTGTTTTCTAAGAAGTTTAACCTATAGAAAACCTGTAAATATCATTTGTATATCTTTTTAAATGTGATTTTAATATGGGTTAATCTCTCAATTGTTTAATAAAATAAAACACGATTTCAGTTGTTATTTTGCCATTTTATGCAAATAGCAAATGAAACATTTCATACTTTGAATCTAATATGAAACTAATAAATGTACAGATTAAAATAAGGAACTCTTGAAATACTTTCAAAGTAACTTCACGAAATTAAATTAAATTTAACCAATGTTAGTTTTTATTTGATCAGTCATTCACTCCATGGAATGGTTCCAAGCTTGCCATCCAACAGTGAAGTATTGCTCCTTGCCCTGAAAAATATGCATGTCCCTGTTTTAACCTTGAACAAAAATATTCAGTCTAAATATTTTTCACTTCATTCCCCGTTGTACTACTATTTTTTCTTTCTATATTCATTTTTAATCTTTCATGCATTTGATAGTAAAGCCTTGTCCATAAAGGCCTCTGTCCTAATTAAAATAGTCTTCAAAATGTTTCATAATTCTTTCTCATTTTAAGAACTACAGAATAGCACCACTTCACTAGAAAATATTTTTAAAAAAGGTATGTAGAAGTATGGATTTTTGAATATCATCTTTACTCCATATGGAATAGAAGACAGTATTGCTTACAATTCTCTTACAATTGTCTTAGCTCCCCAGGATTTGACAATATGAGCTGTCCAAAACATTTCAATTAACTTTTCTCTATTCAGCCCAAGCTTCCCTTAATCAGCCTGACAATGTTTGAAACAGCAAATTGGAAGCTGTAATCAAAGCAAGATAGTATCAGATTCTAATACAAATAGGCCCTCCTATCTGCATTCTACAGAGATGGCACTGGATCAAATATATCAGTCAACAAGTGGGTTACCCTAAAAACACTTGAATTATATCAGGATACATGATGCCATGATTGATTGACTGATTCATTCATCATTCAAGTTTATTAGCTGCGCAACGTCAAGGGAGTCTTGGCCGTAAAAGTTCCAAGAACCCTTCTGTAGACCAATTTTTGTACAAGACATACATGTATAAACATGGTAGCTGCCATTTTGTGCATGGGCAAACATTTTGCTTCTGTTTGACATGTGTACATGCATGGCTGCCACCATCTTTTCCCCCTTTCCATAATGTTGGATTTACAAAAGTCGTAGCAACTCCCTATATCTAAATGATTATGAACAAAGTTTTAGATATTTGAAGGTTTGGGGGGGGAATAAAATGCTCTTTTTCATCTTGGTCTAAAAACCCGGATTTTTTAAAAATGCAAAGCTAAAAATGCTGAAGTGAAATATTTTCTTTTAGAATAATGAACGTAAAAAGACAAGATGCTTTCTGTCTCTTGTAACAGGAAGGCTCTTATCTAAAACAAAATTCTTAATTTTTTTCTGCAGGTGCATGGCCGTTGGATTAAATAATATTAATCCCACTTTATGTTTCATCTTTAAGAGCATGGGAGTTCATATTTTCAGTAAGATAATTCTAGCTGTGCTACTCAATGCTTTCTATCCCCTTAATTTCTAAGCTCTTTTTAATATGTTGTTAGTAAAAACATTTAAATTCAAATTAAGTATTTATTAATCACCTGAATTATTTTGTTTCCTCGGTAATGTAATATTATAATAATTCTCAACACAGGTTTGCTTGCAACAAAACAGTAATAATTTTCATAGAACAACAGGATACCTGCCACTCTTGCACATATGTGAAACAAGTCAACATGTTTGTGCTGGTGCAAAAGGGCAGCTACCATGACCGTGCACATGGACTCTTAACTGCCCTTGAGGCTAGTAGTTCATTATTGTCAGTTTTCTAGATTTCAGTGTTTCAAGATGCTAACACTTTTTAGCCACTGATGCATTTGCACCAATCAGAAAGGACAACTCCGGGTGCTGATCTGGCTAGGTCAAGGGTAGGCAACCTTGGCTCTTTTATGACTTATGGACTTCAACTCTCAGAATGGCTGGCTCAGGAATTCTGGGAGTTGAAGTCCACGAGTCATAAAAGAGCCAAGGTTGCCTATCCCTGGGCTAGGTCGATCGGATGTGAATGCAAAGTATCAGGGAATGAGCTGACAAGCAAATTCTGGCTAATGAATGCAGAAGGCTGTGGAGAAGCCACTGGTGGACCTCTACAGACTATTGACGATCTGTTAACTGCAGATTTCCGTATCACTGATCTAGAATAAAAGAGTGCTATAATTCCTGTTCTCAGGAAGCAGGATGGTTCAGCTCTCAGATGCAAAAGGAAGTGCTCCCCAAGTGGGAAGCTCTGCCACTTGCCCTAGGGAAGGAAGAAAAATGGTTGGATTCAGTGGTTGGCTGATCTTTTGCTGATGCTTTTTTGAGCCCTGCATTGAGCCCTCAATGGGGGAACGCCAAAAGAACAATTTAAAAATATTTACTAAAGGGTACGTCTCGTTAGAACAAAGACAACATTTGAAGGTTCCCTGGTAACTCTTAGTATTCTGAAATTTAGAAAACAGTAGCATTTTGCTTTGTGCTCTTACCTGAAACGTCTTGTTGTCTTTGTTCATCTGATAATGAATTAGATCCTTTCCCCCTCCTATATTCTCCAGTAAACTGAATATCCAAGTTCATGAACCTGTCTGGACTGGATATGGTTTTGCCTGCGTGCGAATCACAGGGAAAAGAATCCATTGCTTGTATGAATGGGGGGTTACCCCAATATCTTTCCTCTGTTTCAGGATTGCTGCTTGCTTTTCTTCCTATTTCTAAAAAATTGCCTGAGCTTTGCTGGAACAGAACATCATTTCTACTAGAAACGAAGTGAGGAGAATGCTTGAAATCATGGAAAAAATTCAGCTGTTGCACAAGAGGTTGAATTTTTCCCAGATGTTCATTTTTAGCATCATGATAAATAGGCTTCTTCAAGAACTCAGAGATATCTAGCTGTTTGCCTGTGTCCACTTTTGAAACAGTAATTCTATTTAGTGGGCAATTCTCAATATAAGGGCCAGAGTCCTGGTTACAGTGCAAATATGGCACTGTGGTTTCATTGTTGTTATGGGAAGATCCTCCAATATTATTCAGTGTTAAATGCGATGCATTTATTCTGGTTTCCGTTTCCACTTTTTTCAGAAATGGGAGATAAAGCTGCCTCTCTACTCTTACACTATCCTGAAAGGGACAGGTGTCTCCATATGATATTGAAGGTAGATCTAAGTTATGTTCTTCAGTTGATTTCAGAGAGCCACAAGATCCATTCTGGCCGATATCCGGGGAATAGTTTTTGTTCTGTTCTTCTGAATACTCAGTAAAGGAACTATGTCCTTGAAATCTGGAGAACAAAGCCTCAAGAAATGGAAGTTGAGAACGAGAGCTGGTGGCAGAATTAATATTTCCTTGAAGAGGCGTAATTTCTTTTTGCGTTAGTGGCTTGAAGATGTATAATGATGTGATGTCACTAAAAGTCTGAAAAAAATAAGAAATACATCTGAGTCCATAATAATAAAACACATGCAGCTTTTTAGTGTGAATGTTCAATGGGTATGTAACAACTACTACAGAAACTCCAAGCTGCGCAAAAGTGTTATCAACACCTAAAGAAGAATATAGCTTTGGGAATAAGGGAGAACAGCTTATGGACTGGAAAAAATGCTGATAGTGTTATGTTGATCATTCTGTCCCTAGACAAACTGCAACATTTAAAAAAAATATTTAGAAAGAAGAAGAATTTTTAGGAAGAAGAACAGCATTATAGAATACTGCCAATCCCTTGGTAGGTTGCACAACAGAGCTGTGAACATTGTTTGAAAGACATACTTCTCATCAACTGGGAAATGCAAGCAAAGTAGCAGTGCACGCATGTGCACAGCAAGCCCACAAGCTTGGGTCAGGATGTAACTGCTTTAACAATTGGAAAAGACCAGAAGTGCTCCTTTTGACGGCTGTATGCCATAATATATTTCACGAATGAAGGTGAACAATTCAAGCAGAATGGGTCTCCACAATCATTTGTCACAAGATGTCTGAGCAATAAGGTGGGGCGAGAAAGGAGGAAACAAGGTATAAAACCAACAACGTGGCACACCTTGCCATACATCAAAAATGTTTCGGAAGCTATAAGAACACAGCATCCGAGATCTGCAAGTGGGCATTGCACAACAATAATAAAGCCAATAACTATCATAAATAAGACAATAGAACAATAAAATATCTCTCCCATCAAAACCTCCTCCTTTTATATCCTCTCCTCTCTCTCTCCTCCTCCTTTTCTCTTCAGCAACTCCAGCTGACTGCTCTCCCCAAGGCTGCACGCTTCTCTATCTCTCTTTCTCCGTCCTCTTCTTTTTCCCCCGTTGTCTTTTTTCCTCCCCGTTTCTCACCAAAACTGCCTCCTTTTATATCCTCTCCTCTCTTCCCCACTCCTCCTTTTCTCTTCTGTGCAGCTCCAGCTGACTCTTCCTCCCCAAGGCTGCGCTCTCCTCCCAGAAGTGCCAATCAGCTGGAGCCCCGCACTGATCCTGGGTGCTCAGCAGAGCCCTGGCAACACCACAGCTCCAGCTAATTCTCTCACAGGCCTGTGTGGCAGTGCTGTCACTTTAACTCATTCCCCTGCTACACTTTTACACTTTTTTCACACTTTTTTTTTTACAGTGGTTTTCAACCCATCGTATGCATACCACCTGCCAGGTGCTGAAGTACCACCAGTGGTACATCTACCACAGGTTGAAAAGCACTGGCCTAGGGTATCCTAAACCATTCTACAGGAACACTACAGAGATGGTTGTTGTGTATCATGTTAATCTGAATTAATATCAACACATGCAAATTGCTGATTTATAATTTTCTCGATAAGCAGCGTTTTCTGTATGTGGTTGCAAAGGACTAGGAACGACTGCAATACTGTATATGTTTGTTTTTAATTTAATGCAAAAGGTTTTTTTTGTAATTGTATTGGCATAATAAGCCAATATGCTTAAGGATGAATAAAAAAATCCAGACAAATTCAATCTCAGGAGCTATTTTGGTTTCTTTCCTGCTTTAACAATAATCAAAGCAACAACATAACTGAATTGTACGCATCATGCTTATATCCTGGACAACTGACCTTCAAAACCTTTTCTGGCACCTCAGGCAGAAGTTCCTGAAGCTCAGCAAAAGATGCTGCCAGTAGCCATCCCAGTGAAGAACTTTTCTTTAGCATGACTTGAGCAACTAGTGGATTCATGCATGGAAATGTAAGCAAGCATTTCTCTGCCTAGAGGGAAAAATAGAACTAGAATTAGACTTACATTTTGTTTAGGTATTCCACCATAAATGAATCCAGGCAACTGAAGATATGTTGTTATTTTGTTAACCACAGCTAACTGTAGTTTGGATGGTTAGCCAATTTTTCTGAAATAGTTTAGAATTTTATGTGTTTCTCTTTTTTTTATTTTAACTAATTGTGGTTTTTATTTTTTTGGCTTTAAGTGCTGGTCTATGACCAAATGAAAGTGGATTGATTGGTTATGAAATTACCTTGTCGCTACAATCATCTACTGCCAAGATTTAGTAGGAAAAAAGGGGTTGGATGAATAAATGAATAGGATAAATGATGATCAACAGTCAAGTTTGCAGAAATATCTATCATCTGAGAAATTATAGGTAACTAGTTCACTATAAGAGTCTCGAATTTGGGATGATGCTTGGACTCATTTCCAAAATATAACACTTCTTTGAATCCACAATTTCTGCTGTATTCATCTCACAAAATAGAAACCCATTAATTTCTCCAAATCCTTTCCTGAGGATGTTATTTTATCCATTGACCTTCAGTTTAATGTTGGTACAGTGCTGCTTTTATGTTAAGACCCTATCTAGAGCGACCCCTAAATACGTAGGGCTATAACAATGCTTCAGTAATGTCCCTTTCCATGTAATAGCAGCTTCCTAGCAGCCTGCTTATGCTGAAGAGGGAAGGTACATACATGAGTTTTTGCTGGATTTGGTCTTAACTGGCTATCACAATAGTACAGAACCAGCTCTACCAGAGCTTCAGTTAAATGTTGTTCAACCTCCTCAAATGTTTTTCCCTGTACAGCCATTGTTAGTTGTTTTGTTCAGTTGCTTTTGAACTGATTCTCCCATGAAGATATTTTTATTCCTGATCTCCAATTTATCTCTGTGAATCAGCTCCCTAGGGAACCTGAAGCAAGGAGCTGCTGTTCCACATAAAGGAGAGCACTTTTATTCTTTGTCAACCAACTCCCCCATCCCTAGTCGTTCGAAGAAAATCAGCCAGTTTCTCTGGGATTGCCATCCAAAACAAATGCTGAACTAAACTAACACTTCTTGGGATTTACATATCCTAAGTGGCCTCTCAGCGGCAGGACATTAACGCTAGAAATAATGGTATCCTGTAAACAAAATGAAGCCAAATCACTTACTTCTGATAGCAGGACAGAAAGCCATGACTTGTTTAGCCACTCCTGTGGATGTTGTTTAGAAGCTAATAATACGTGGTCAGCTATCTGGCGAACCAAAAGTGCTGTTTCTTCAACTCCTGGTGTAAGGGCCATCTAAAATATATTTGCCTTTTAAATTTAGAATGAAAATTATATGAAATAGAAAGCACAAGAATAATCCCTTGATAGTTTAATGCCCAAGTGATGTTGCATGTTCATCACATTAGCCTAGTTGGAAAAATGTAGTAAGACAAAGCTTTTTTAAATACTATTCTTCTCCACAGGAAAGAAGAGAGAATGTGGCTGAACGAATGAGAGATTAGTCATTACTAAGCTATCTTGTATGAATCTATTCATAAGCACTTTAGGCTGAGTCTTGTCACACATATTTGAGAATGCAAAAGCAAGGTAGATAGAGGGAAATACTGTTTATACCAGCCTATAGGAGAATAGCAGGCAATGCTGAGGGGTGATGTTAAGGGAGTTATGAGCCTAGAGTCATTACATTCCCACAAATGGTCTAAGTCCAATCCCTCTTGGATTCTGTTGACCCTTAACTGGTGCCAATTTAGCTTTGAGTGTGAGTTGCCTATGTTCTTATGTATGGACTTGAGCAATAAATCTTCTGAACTGGAACTTATGTGTGATATTGATAGCAATAAGAATAGCACTTAGACTTATATACCGCTTCACAGTGCTTTACAGCTCTCTCTAAGTGGTTTACAGAATCAGCATATTGCCCGCAACAATCTGGGTCCTCATTTTACTGATCTCGGAAGGATGGAAGGCTGAGTCAACCTTGCGCCGCTCAGGATTGAACTCCTGGAGTGAGCAGTACTGCATTCTAACCACTGTGCCACAATGGCTTGATCCTTTGTGCTTGATATTAATCTAGTCAATTCACATTCAATGCTAAATTGGCACCAAGTAAAGTTCAACGGAATTCAAGGGGGGAGTTGGCCTTACCATTTGTGGGAATGTAATGACTCTAGCTGATGACTCACTTCACTCCACCTCCCAACTCTGCCTGTTCTTCTCCTACACAGTCTGAATTACTTTAGTAAAAGAATAAAAATGCAAAATCCCAGGGGTCAAATGTGTTCAAAGTATCCTGACTCCCAAATTTAGAATCACATGATTGGGATGGTAGTGAGAAGACCAGTAAAATGTACGAGGGCAATTCGGAAATAAACCTCTGTTTGGTTATCAATGACAGACACTCGCAGATGCAGAACTTTTATTATACACATTAGAAAACTACAGCATTACATTACTTTTTGACATAATCGCCATTCAGGTTGAGGCACTTGTCATAACATCTTACAAGTCTGAAATTCCTTAGTAATAGTCGCTTGGCGCCAAATCTGGGCTATGTGGGGGGGAGAACCAACACCACACCTGAAGTCAGCATGCCCTGACGCTTGTTATGGATGGATCATCTGAGTTTTCATAATGTTTCACAGTAGATGTCTGAATTGATGGTCAACCCACGCTCCATGGACTTCACTAGCAGTACTCCTTTGGCATCTTCACATTTGTGGGATTTTCTATGGCACCACTTCTGGTGTGTTGGTTCACGATAATGCTCGCCCGCACACCGCTAGACGTACCCAAGAACTTTTGAAGCATTGGGTTGTTTTTGATCACCTCCCCCCATAGCCCAGATTTGGTGCCGAGCGACTACTACTAAGGCATTTCAAACTTGTAAGACCTTATGACAAATGCCTCAATTTGAATGCCGATTATGTCAAAAAGTAATGTAATGTAATTTTCTAATGTGTATAATAAAAGTTCTGTATCTGCAGTGTTTGTCATTGATGACCAAACAGAGATTTATTTCTAAATTGCCCTCTTATATAGAACAAATCTGGGTAATGAATGCTGCATATATGATAATCCTTTGTTGTCTGAGACATAATGATTATAGTATTTCTAATATAGGAACATAGTGACACATACATTTATACACAAATTACCTTCACTTCAAAGTCTTCTGATTTCTGTGCAAAAGAAATCAAGGCTGCATAAATTAAAGCAAGATGATGCAGGGATTTTCCAGTTAGGCTGTATCTAAATAAAACAGCATATTTTATTATTGTTCTCTCTCTCTCTCTCTCTCTCTCTCTCTCTCTCTCTCTCTCTCTCTCTCTCTCTCTCTCACACACACACACACACACACACACACACAAAACACACACAGTTTTTTTGATGAGAAAGGTTAATGATACATGGGGATATGAGAGGTAGATAAAGACAGAATAGATGAAACCTGAGTAATTTCAAACATTTTAATGCATGAAATAGTAATAAAAACACTTGTGTTTCTTCAATTATAACAAAGCAAGCACAAGATACAGATTTATTTTGAACAAGCGAGAGTACAGCTTCCATGATTTGCTTTGCATTTTAACAACTACAAATTTTAATTTATTAAGGTATTCCAGAATATCTCCATTGTTTCGGCAACAATTGTGCAAGAATATCACAATTCTAACTTTTATTTTAAAAAAATGTATACTTCAAAATTTAAGCTTAAGAATTAATTTAAAGCTTTTTACCTACTTAGAATTTAATCTTTCTCTGGAGTATAAAATAATCCAACAGGAGGCATACTGGAGTGATAGCGCCATCAGTCTTAAGACAATATTATTAGAGGAGTTTTCATAATTGAGTTCTTCCATGTTCTATAACAAAATGAGAAAAAGGCCCAGTCACACTCTCTCACCTAGTCCACCTCACAGGGTGGTTGTTGTTGGGAAAACAGAGGTAGGAAGATGTGTTGGATATGTTCACTGCCTTGGGTTATTTGTGAAAATAATAAAGGTGGGATACAAATAAACAAATACTGCTACTACTAATAAAATTGCCATGAAGCAGGTAAATAAACTGATGTGTAGTATTATAAAATAATTGGCCAAAGATATGATTGATACTATAACAATTTGGTATAGTATCAAAAATGTGAGCTGCAAAAATGTGGAAAACCTCTAGAAGGCAGCAAGAAAATGCTATGCTGCCACCTACTGGTGACTGAAGGTTTACTGTTCAGTATTGTAACCATAAATTTGGCAAATCACATATTTTCTGGAGGCTGATAGTATTTTTTCAGACCAACAAATTTTATTTAAGGGTAGAAGCTTTCATGAGTGTTATCACATGCACGAAGTGGCTAAACTGTAGAAAGCCATGGCAATGGCACTGAAGGGGACATAAACAGTGGTGGGATTCAGTCAGTTCGCACCACTTCGGCAGAACCGGTAGCTAATTTTTTGTTGCCCAGACTCAGAGCAAACTTCCGGAAGTGGCATCCACACAGAGAACCGGTTGTTCACATATTTGAATCCCACCATTGGACATAAACCATTACAAAAACAAGGACAAAATTGTTCTTTAAGTCCTGGGAAAGAAGATAATATTAGGTAGGAGGAAGGCTACTCCTTCCTTACTCAATGGGATATGAGAGGGAGGGACACAGACTTGTAAGATTCTGTCAGAACAGCCCAGTGTTTCTCAATGTTAGCAACTTTAACAGGTCTGGACTTCAACTTCCAGAATTTCCTAACCATGCTAAAGTTGAGAAACACTGATATATCTCAATAACGTTTAATTCAAGATACAGATTGCATGCAAGACAGATTATTCAGTTTCTCTTTGTAAAAAAGTGAGAATAATTCTAGTATATATATATTATGACACATATTGTGGATATTTATCAAATAATTAAAAAATGTATATGTGCCTGTGATATGAATGCAAGGCAACTATATATAGGGATATGTGATAATAGTATTGTAATAATATTTTTACCTGCATAACAATAGCTGTGCATTCATCTATAGTCATCACAACATAATGTTCTGTGCCTCCAAAATAGTTTAAGGCCTCACAGCAGTTTCTTTCAATTAAAGTAATATTATACCTGCATGTGAAAGTTCTTGTCAGTAATCCACTGAATATATTACAATTCTGCTGTACCCACAATCCAACTTCCAACAATCATGTCCTGCTTATGTCACTAGTGACTTACTACAGCATATGCCAGTGATGGAGAACCTTTTAGAGACCGAGTGCCCAAAAATTGGCCCTGCCCCGCCCCCCATTCCCTGCCCCGCCTGCCCGCAGGGCCACTCATCACCTCCAGAGCCTGCCGCAGATCGCCCAGGCAGCCCAGCAGTGCTATGGCGGTCACGCCCTCTGCCCGCGCCCTGCAGCATCAACTGTGCATGATGGGTTGTGATGGCAGAGTCTTGTCTACGCTGTCTGGCTGCCATGTCCTTGGTTGAGCTGCTCTGCGTGGGCCACGCTCAGGGGCGACTCTCCTTCAGAGGGGCTGCTGGAGAGGAGGGGGTCTGGGGGAGATGAGGCTGGGGCAACGGCATGTGTGCCCACAGAGAGGGCTCCGAGTGCCGCCTCTGGCACCCGTGCCATAGATTCGCCACCACTGGTATATGCTAAGTACAGTTCTCTCATGCCTTCTGCAACTTGTGTAAGATAAGAAAATCTTTATTGTCATTTACTGGCCTTACAACATCACACATTAAAATGAAATTCCAGTGCCTCGCTCTCAAAACAAGGACGCCACCCACCAAACAATGTCACCATCCCAAGGATAACAGTAATAATATATAACAGCAGCAGCACCAAAAATACCAAGTTATACAAAATTATTGACACAAAACTTATATTAATCACAGTCCATTTTGAATACTTAGTGGAAAAAAAGTATCTTGAGAGTTAACAAGGTTGACACTATATTGAACAAAGGTATTATAGAATCTAGTTCAGGGGTCTTCAAACTTGGCCCTTTTATGACTTGTGGACTTCAACTCCCAGAATTCCTCAGCCAGAATTCTGGGAGTTGAAGTCCATAAGTCATAAAAGGGCCACGTTTGAAGACCCCTGGTCTAGTTGTTCTGCTTTTGGATAACATGAAGCCTCCTCCCAGAAGGCAACAAAGAAAACTATGGAAAGGTTGTGTAAAGTCCCTGACAATACTACGGACCCTGATCAAGCAGCGCTTAGGTGCCTAATGCTGAAGCACAAATCAAGGTCCAGTCCATACACACATCACTCTGTATTTTTGGCTACTTCTCAGTAAAAAGTAAGATGAATCTAAGTGGGTCTTAATGCAGGAATAAAAGTGTTTTAAAAAGTAAATTGACAAATATAAGGCAAGACAAATGTAAAATTACATGAGACTTGGAAGGAACATGCACTAATGAAAAGGATCTGAAAATTTGAACTTCTCCTGCCCTTGGAGTTTCACTACTTACTTGGATTCCAGTAACTGAAGGATTTCTGGGGTATTGAGAAGTCCTTCAGATGTCAAAAAAACATATGGAATTGACAACCTCAGAAGATCATATCCAAGATTCTCAGACAAAAACTCTTCTAAAAAACAAATAACATCAACATTTCATTAAAAGCAAGAACTAGGCAAAAAAAATCTTTTTTTAAAAAAAATAATACACTGGGTGCTATCTAACAAAAAGAAATTCAATGGTGAAAAAAGTAAGGTTCTACATTTAGGCAAGAAAAACCAAATGTACAGGTATAGTATAGGGGGTACCTTGCTCAATAGTAGTAACTGTGAGAGGGACCTCAGAGTCCTAGTGGACAATCATTTAAATATGAGCCAGCAGTGTGCTGCAGCTGCCAAAAAAGCCAACACAGTGCTAGGCTGCATTAACAGAGGGATCGAATCAAGATCATGTGAGAAGGACGAGGGGGACATGATAGCAGTGTTCCAATATCTCAGGGGCTGCCACAAAGAAGAGGGAGTCAAGCTATTTTCCAAAGCGCCTGAAGGCAGGACAAGAAGCAACAGGTGGAAACTAACCAAATTAACCTTTTGCTGTTAATTCAAATAGGTTGTTTTTGGAAAACTACAAGCAGTCAATTTCAGCACTCATCAGTATTAAAAATGAACCTAATATTTTGTTACATGATTTTTTCCCCTGGATTTATTTATAAAATTTACATCTCAAGGTAACACCAAGGATTGCAGAGATAATAGACATAAACAACTTTCAAGTTGAATAATGTAATATACAATTCTATAAAAACTAACACACAAATAGTTCACCATAAAGACTAATTATCTACAGCTGAATAATTAAAAACAATTTTACAAATTAAGTTTTCTCTCTCTAGAAAATAATTATGTACCAACATTAGATTATTTTACAAAGCAAGCTCTAATTTTCTATCTTATTTTCTCTTCAATTTTGCATTTGAAACATTCACATACCAGTTTCAATTGCTTCTGGGGGAACTGTTTGAAAAATTAAGTAAGGTATATTCATTTTTTTACATAGATCAATCCAACAGGAATTCTCATTGTAGTTGTACTCTATCACCAATGAAAAACTGGTCCAGGGGAAATCAGGCCCAATATGTTGATTATTTACAATGATACAAGAATATACATCCAAACTAAAAATGAAAAGTCAAGAAAAAGTCTTAATATATGTATTTTTAGTGACATCTTCTGAATACTTTTCTGAAATAATTTCAAGATATTAATATTTTTCAATAATAATTAACTATACCTACCTATTTATTATATGTTTACTCTCAAACAACATTCCTCTTTTCTTAGAATTCAAATATATGGCCTTCAAGCCTATATAAAGAGAGAAATAATATATTATTAAACATTCATTCGCAGTTTGGAAAATGGTATGTGAGCAATGATTAGTTATTTATCCGGCTGAGTGGATAAATTAGTAAAAGCATAACATTATTAAATTTATGCTGTCTTTATACAACTATGCTGAAATCTTTTAAAACATTTTGTAAACAAAGTTATTTATTAAACCTATAGCATTATCTGTTGATTGTTAAATTAGTACGTTTTGTTAAAGCTGGTTAAATGACCATATTTTTATACCATGCTTTTTAGCAGTTGGCTAGTATTTTTACTGCAAGCTGTAGATACATATTTGATGCATGTTACTCTGCTAGCTCCATTATAATAAGTGGAAATAATAATAATAATGATGATGATGATGATGATGATGATAATACTAATAGTAATAATACTAATACTACTAATAATAATAAAGTTGGAAGGGACCTTGGAAGTCATCTAGTCCAACCCCCTGCTCAGGCAGGAAACTCTATACCATTTCAGACAAATGGCTGTCCAGTCTCTTCTTAAAAACTTCCAGTGTTGGAGCATTCACCGCTTCTGGAGGCAGGTTATTCCACTGGTTAATTGTTCTAACTGTCAGGAAGTTTCTCCTTAGTTCTAGGTTGCTTCTCTCCTTGATTAGTTTCCACCCGTTGCTTTTTGTCCTGCCTTCAGGCACCCTGGAAAATAGCTTGACTCCCTCTTCTTTGTGGCAGCCCCTGAAATATTGGAATACTGCTATCATGTCCCCCATCGTCCTTCTCTTCATTAAACTAGACATACCCAATTCCAGCAGCCTTTCCTTATATGCTTTAGCCTCCAGTCCCCTAATCAGGGCTTTTTTTTCTCATAGAATGCCCAGAACGGAGTTCCGGCACCTTTTTTGGATGGAACCTTGTTGGGTAGGCAAGGCAGGTTGTATGACGTGTGTGAGTTCCGGCACCTTTTTTTTTTTAAGAAAAAAAAGCACTGCCCCTAATCTTCTCTGTACTCTTTCTAGAGTCTCAACATCAACATTGTGGTGACCAAAATGGAATACTATTAGAGATTTGGTACCCTGATCAATTATATTGGAAATGAAATATGGAATACACTTGTTGTATGGGTAACGTCAGCTTTCAAAGCAATATTAAAAATTAAAAGTAACTTTTACCTTGCACTGTATTAATGGTATTGATCAGGACTTCTGTTTCTTCATCAAAATCCATTCTAATCACAATTACTACCTGATACAGCATTAAAAAACATTTTAATTAAACAATTTAACAATCTCCATTTGATATTTAAGGGCTCTAACAGTAACCTGAATCATTGGTAGAGTATTTCCATGACTATAGGATTGAAGTAACAATAAACGGGAAAAAATAAGAATATACTAATGTGGAAAAATGCAATGCAGTGTTATTTACTTTTTACTGCACTAAAGATTATTCTGCTTATATGTAGGGTTCCCCCTTTCTCTGATCCTAATGAGAACCCACCCAACCAGATCCCATAGATAATCAGGTCCTGAACCATGAAGGATTTAAAGCAGTGGTTCTCAACCTGTGGGTCGGGACCTCATTTGGGGTCAAACGACCATTTCACGGGGGTCGCCAAACAACGCAGTCCGCCATTTTTTCCCCCTTTCCTTAGCTGTGCTACTCCCTTTTATTCTATTGGCTTTTGAAAGCCAATAGAATAGACTCTCTTGAATAGAGTCTAATTCTATTGGCTTTCAAAAGCCAATAGGAATTGTCCAGGCTGTCTCTGCCCTGCTGAGCCCGCCAAAAGTCCCATTCTGCTGCACCAGTTGAGTAGTCCTCAACTTACGACCGGTTGAGTAGTCGTCGACTTACAACCGGTTGGGGGTCGCGGCATTAAAAAGGTTGAGAACCACTGATTTAAAGTGAAACCAGTACCTTGAATTGTACTTCTAAATCAACTGGCAACTAAGCAGCTCTTGAAACAGAAGTGTTACTTGGATGCCTGGGGTGCACCCATAACTATTTGAATTACTGCATTCTGGACCAGCTATAGTTTCCAAATGGTTTTCAAAGACAGTCCCATATACAGCACATTATAGTTGTCTAAGACAGAACTGTCAGTGATTACCCTTTCTATTCCAGGAAAAGTTGCAATTGGTGCAAAAGCCCTCTTCACTATAGCTGTCATCTTCTCCAGCAGGTGTTATGAGGGAAAGAAAACCCTCATATTGCAAACCAATTATCAGGAGTATAGTCCCATTCAGAATTACAGTGGAATCTAACTGGAACTGGTGATCCTTCAGACCTAAAGCTACTCAGTAATTGAGTTTCAACCTGTTACTCTCCACCCAGGCTATTTTCCAATACCTGGATAGCATTTTGGCAGCATCATATATTCAGTCAGGAATCAACATGTGGAGTTGGTCTCAACAACATACTGAAGAAACAGTTTCATGTAGGTGTTGAATAGGAGTAGGCAGACTATTAAGCCCACAACAGAGGGGCCCAAGTGCATGGTCTTTCCCCCACATACCCCCACAAACTGGAGCTGTTCCTTCGGAAAGAAGGGGAACTACTGCAAAACGGTGCCCTCTACTCCCAACCCAGGAAATCCATGATAGATTGTATTGAAAGCTATTCAGAGGTTGAGCAGGGTTTCGGAAACCCTATCCTGGTGCTTTCAGATATAATCTAGATATATGACTAACAATATCTCTGTGCTGAACTTCAGCTTGAAACCTGACTGAAATGCTTCTTTCTCCCAGTGTTCACTGCAGCTATAGTTTGACTACTTTCTCCACAATACCCCACAAATATCAAGTTTTCGGCAAGGTTATTAGTAGGGCAATATTGGAAGAAAGATTTTTTGCCTACAATAGAAGATTGTAGCAGAAATGGCAAAAATTTCTGCTTATTTGAAGGATCACTCGTAAGAAAGATATATTTCGGTTTGGAGAAGATGGATAGATTATATTCAGAATAAATATGGGATTAAAAAGTTTCATTTAGCCTATGAGTAAACTTTAGAGTATTATTAATAGTTTCTTTTTTAATTTTTATTAGTTTTAGTATGGTTTAACAATATTGATTTGTTTATATTATTATGTTTATTTTTAATTTGTTTATATTTATGTTATAAGGGAGTTAAAGTGCGTTATGGACTTGGTTACTTGTATAGTTGGGTAATGTTTTTTTTAGAGTTTGATTGTTTATTTGTAACTCTGTACTCAGCTCTGGGAAGTGGGGTAGGGGGGATAGGGGTGGGTGGGTCTTGGGATGTATATTGTATAAAACTTTTCAATAATAAAAAAAAATATCAAGTTTTCGGTGTTATTACCTTATTCTGATCATTTACATTATTCTGTAACCACTTAGAAATTTGATGCTGTAATTCTGTCACTTTGGGACTGACTTTGTGCTCCTGCACAACAAATTCCACAATTTTCAGCTGTTTCCAAATAATATCCAGGTCATAGTCTTGGAAATCTTTATAATAATCTTTTGTCTTGGACAGATATTCTGTTCAAATAAACATTATTTATCACATGTTCTACATATTTCACATAAGTCTGTTTCAAATCCTATTTTTCTCCCTTATGTCTTCCCTTTTTAAATGATTCTTAATACATTTTAAAGCTGAACACTAAAATCAAGATTTATGCCCAAGGTCTGCTCATTCAAAGTAAAACGTTACTTTTTTAAATGTTCATAGTAATTTTTTTTTCCATTGCTACTATATTTGTTTTAAAAATTAAAGAGGTTTCACTACATGTAGCCTGGCAATAAAATCTGTACAAAATATAAATGGATTTTCCATCTTCCAATCTATGGTAGACATAGAATGCTGTATTTCAGTAAACCAATATAGGACTACAACTCTGTATAAAAATTACCTAATGCAGTGTTCAAGTTACAGGTTAATAAAAGATCACGAACTGTAACCAGCAAATGAAGAATAGCAGCATGTCTGAATGCCAAAATATACTTTGCCTCTTTGCTACCTATAAAAAAAGAGAAAAATAATATTAGAGATTATTCTTCCAGAACTACAAAAACTATTTAGTAAACACAATAACATTGCTTATATTTAGTTTGGTGGGATTAAGGCCCAGGCACAAAAATCCTGTTATTAAATTTAATCACTTTGACATCTAGCACTTAATGGAGCAATTCTGACCATTAAATTGGACAATTTGACATATAGAGCAATTTGACATCTCAATGTAAATCGCATGTCCTCTTGCATACCTTAAATATGCTGTCAAGGGATTTTTTTTTTTGCTGTAGAGTCAAAATGTTATCATCCCTCCTTGCGTGAGTAGAAAACTACACTGATTTGAAACTTCCTCTCTCCATTGCTGACCTTAATCCCACATTTAGTGTTCCTGTTTCGAATCACTGTGGCCAGGTAATTTCATTTCAAGATGAAGGATGGCAAAGCCTAACTTACTTTACCCACACTGGAGGGGATTGCTATATGGTGTTGGAATAAGTGTGGAATATGCTTTTAATACTGGTATAGCTACAGATGACTTAAGGTTGGTGTCAAGATGAAAGTATATAGTGGGAACATCAGAAAAAAAAACATTGCTAGGAGATGCTTATGCCATGGCTACTTGTGCCATGGGGAAAAGGTTGGGATTTCCTTTTACATCAGTACCCTTTAGCAATTCAAAAGCATTGCTTTTCATAATTATTTGGAAATAGAATTAAAATGATAGTTCACCCAATACTTTTTCTAATATTGTATTTTCCATTCTAGTCCTGTAAATGGTCTTAGTTAATATTTTTTTTATGTTTCTTAGCTTTTTTTACAGCAGTTTTTGACCAAGATGTTTGGCTGAAAATCAGGTGTGTCTCAGATGCTCCTGTTACCGTTCTATCCCATCTTTGTTCAGATCCATCTTGTAAAGTAGATGCATAGGTGGTTACTGGCAAATCTCAGCATGGCAATGTAACACAACTATTTTATGTGCTACACTGGGTGCCAGTGGCTTCCAGGTATAATTCAGGGTGCTGACTATAATATCTAAAATAATTCTTGCAAAGGATCTGATCATTTGTGGGGCTACCTGCAATTTATGCCCACCCATTAAGTTTCAGTCCCACTTCTGTCTCTTAAGCAGACTTATTTCATGGGTCGCAGAAGAGATGCCTTCTCTGTTGCTGCACATGTCCTGTCAAATATTATTTTCTCTCCTTCCCCTGCTCTTGAAGTCCAGATGACCCTGATGCTGCTTGCTATTTATGATCTGTAATTTTTTTAGGATAATTGTGTTCCAGTCCAATGTGATTATTTTGATTGCTGATTAGATTTAGCAGACTGTATTGCATGTTTTATATTGTGTGTTTGCATATACATTTAATTCAAGTGTTTCTCAGTCTTGGCCAACTTTAAGATGTGTGGATTTCAACTCCCAGAATTCCTCAGCTAATCATGCTGGCTGGGGAATTCCAGGAGTTGAAGTCCACACATTGTAAAGTTGTCATGACTGAGAAACACCAGTTTAATTGTATGCCACTCTGAATTCTTTTTGACAGGCTGTCTATATAAAATAAATAAATTAAAGCATGGATTATTATGAAGAAGATTCCTGATTCAGTCTCCAATATCTTAAGTTGAAAGATCTTTGTTGCAAGACGGCATTAAGGAAAAAGAAATGAATAAAAAAATGGAATTGTACCTTTCTACTATATAGAATATGAACTATATATAATTTTAGGAAAAAAATGCAGCAGTCCCACCTTGTTTCAATGTGTCACCGATCACTTTCTCTTGTTGTTTCAAAAAAAACCTAGTATTATCAGAATTAAGTGTGGCAAATCTCCAATTCTGCATGTCAAGCTTTATAAGTTCTTTCAAAACTGGAGCCGCTGCAGCTTCCAGGATATGATATGCCTGAGACTGACACTCTGGTTAAAACAAAGCAAAGATTTAACAAAATGCTTTTAAAGTCCTGCAAAACAAAATAAGTAGTGAAATAAATCAATATTTTTATGATCGATGATTTTGAAACTGAAGTTTTCTGATAACCAGATAGTTTTCATTAACACTAAAAGGCATTGTGATCATGTTTTGATAAATTCATGTTTTCTTTAGAACATATGTACAACAGAGTATTTGCTTCTGCTTTAGCTTCTTTTTGGACTTCTTTATTTTCCAACCTCAGACATTTTAGACCCATGAATTAGGCTAGCAGTAATCCAGATTTGAATGGGAAAAGATGATTTGGCATGCTTGTGGACATTTACATAACCACCTGTCAGCAACTCTTTGCAGAAGCTTGTGCTTCTGCTCTCTGTAACTGTGGTATAATTCCAGGAAAACATATACTTAAAGAGGAGCTAACAGATACTACTTAACTATTTTTTCAAATTCAAATCAGTGCATAGAAAAATAGAGAGTGACTTTCTTTTTCTATCTTTCTCTGTATAGATCTAATATGGCCATGTGACCTATTTCACAGGTCATTTCCCTCTATTTTAATGGCACATAGAATGCAATTCTGTATTTGAAAGCCTAACAACTCTTAACCTATGGTTCTTAAAAATGAAGATTCCTAGGAATAAGAGGTCCATCAAGAGTTAATTCTTAGATAGCAGACAGAGGCAAACATATCATTTAAAAATTATAGGACTTTTAAAATGTGCTTCTCTACATAAAAAGCAGCATTTGTCAATTGTGATACAATGTGTACCAATCTAATTGGCTAACTTGGGGAGACACTCAATTTTCAGTAGGATACATAAGTAGCATCCTGTGAAGATTATGATGTTTTCTATTTCTTCTTCTTCTTTGATATAACCAGTTCCCTCATAATTGTGCATTAATTTGACCATCTTTTCTGAACAGAATTCTGCCTAGATATAATTGTTGATTCTTTATAACTGGGGGAGTTTTGAGATCATTATAAAAGAATCTGAAATCCAGAGTTCCTGTTATAAAATAAACTTTAAAACAAGGCTTTAAAATATTTAATACCTGATGTTTTAATTTTGATGAAAGCTAATGTATGATTGTCTTTTGATTGGTTTTCCATATGTCTATGGAGGTTTTCCACAGGAACTGTCATGCCAGGAACACCAGGACTTTTGTGGCTTTCAAGTGAAGGTTGTTCTTCCTCAGCATCAAATACTTAGGAAATACAAAAACATGTTCACAAAATAAGTTAAAGCAGTCTAATTCCTTACTGAATGATGTCCTTTCTTTGGATCAAGACCTACCCTTGAGTGGTATATTTATTCAAAAAATAAATGGATTCATGAACGAGATCAGGACAATACTAAATTTTCCAGGTGTAGTTAACTAAATACTGTTAATATTTCTCTTGTTTATTTCATTACGATACTATTTGTATAAAGTAATATTCCCATTTTCTAACTGTAAAAATCATAGATCAATGACAATTTTGGGGAGGAAGAAGTAGAAGTGTACCCAATACTGGGGAACTGAATGCAGCCTGCACCCAAAATGATAGCTTCTTATACAATGAAAACCTGAAAAGCTATAATAGCTGCATGGCACATTCAAGAGGCTGTAGGTTGCTATTGTGCTTCTTGTTTTCTGTAAAAGAAATCATAGGGAAGTTTTCTACAGAGAAATTCTAAAACATATACAGAATGTAACATACAATTGCAGTTTTAGTGTGAGATCACTAGATGGTAACATAAGACTAAAAAAAGATGTGCTGTACTATAGGACTTATTAGTTCTACAATTCTCATAAACAATGAAAATCTAATAAAGTAACTGAGGCTGCTTGTTAGTAAATAAGTATTGAAACTATTCATGAAACTTAATTAAAGTCTAAGCTTTGAGGGTCTGAATATGTGAACATAAAGAATTTAATACTTCCATGGCAATTCTGTTATATCTATGACATACATCATTTTTATCATCTGTGCTGGTTCTACACAACAAACAAATTATTCATCCAGTGGAAATTCTTTTTAATTAAATATATCGAGATGCTTTTTAGTTAGCTTGCATCCCAACTGAATTACACATTAACTAACACAATTATTTAACAAGGTGGAGCTGGATGCTTCTGAGAGCAGAATTTACCAACCATTAAGGGTCAATAAGATATGTAATTAAATACAATGAGTTTTATTGCATATGCTTTCCATTCTGAAAACAGGAGAAGAGAACCAACAGTGGAAAAACCCAAAGGGAGTGGAAGGGTGATAACGGGAGGAACTATATTATCCTTCCATATTTTTGTGATAGTGGTACACGGAGCTATTGATTAACACACAATACCCCACCCTCAATCTAATCTGACATCCATTAGCCAAAGCATATACAAATTATATCTGTACCCCTTCACTGTATCAGCACATTTTGATTGATCTCTCTCAGTGTGTTTCTATCAGCAAGCACAATTTTTACAGCATTATTTAAGCCAAGGTTCATTTCATTGTACATTTAAATTACTTTGATTTTAAAGTAAAAATTAGAACCTCTGTAATATTACAGCTCAACCCAGAAAGCACTTGACTGCATGCTGCCCAGTTGTTCAGACTGTAATTTGATTCCTATTTTTTGCTTACTACTGTAGATATTCTCCCCAAGTGACCATTTGATGGGAACTGCGTGTAGCTTCCCAATATAGGCACACAGAGTAAAATGTGCATGTGCATAAACCACATAAAATATACTCCAATAACTAACTCTAAACGCTCTTAAGAATTACTGTTTGTTCAGATACTAGAAAATGCATTATTAGAGATGTTTAATTTTCCTTTCCCCATATAGATCAAAATGTTCCCTATGGCAGGGCTTTTCAACCTTTTCACCCACTGTACCACTTTTAGGATATGGCAACATCCGAGTACCACCAGTCGCCTAACAAGGTGTCAAAAACTTGATGACCCCCCCAAAAAAGTGATAAAGTACAGGTAGTCCTCAACTTACAATAGTTCACTTAATGACTGTTTGAAGTTACAATGGCACTGAAAAAAGTGCCCCCCAAGCCACAGCTGAGCAAGACACCTGCCTGCCCACCTGGTGTGCTCTTCCTCCTGTCCGAGGTTTTCATTGTTGTGAGCATTTCTGTTGAAGACTGGCAGTGGGGATGGGGTGCGGGGGTGTTTGGTTTTTATTCCCCCTGTCTGCTGGGTGGTTGCAGCAGGTTTTGGTCACTTCACATGCCCCTGGGACACTGTGACCGTCATAAATATGAATCAGTTGTCAAGCATCTGAATGTAAATCACAAGACCCTGGAGATGCTGCAACATTCCAGCTGATTGGCACTTCTTCTGGGCTCAGCAGAAGTGCCAGGATCAGCGCTGAGCTCCAGCCAGAGCCTGGTGCTGATCCTGGCGCTTCCGCTAAGCCCTGACAGCCCTGCAGCTCCAGCCATCTCTCGCTCAGGTTTGTGCGGTGCTGCCACCGGTTCAGCTCATTCCCTCCCCCGCTACCACTTTTCTAGGATGGTCGCGTACCACCTGCCAGGTGCCAATGTACCACAGGTGGTACCCGTACCAGTGGTTGAAAAGCCCTGCCCTATGGTAAGGGAGGCTAAAACATATAAGGAACGGTTGCTAGAATTGGGTATGTCTAGTTTAACGAAGAGAAGGACAAGGGGGGACATGATAGCAGTGTTCCAATATCTCAGGGGCTGCCATAAAGAAGAGGGAATTAAGCTATTTTCCAAAGCACCTGAAGGCAGGACAAGAAGCAAAGGGTGGAAACTAATCAAGGAGAGAAGCAACCTAGAACTAAGGAGAAACTTCCTGACAGTGAGAACAATTAATCAGTGGAACAGCTTGCCTCCAGAAGCAGTAAATGCTCCAACACTGGAAGTTTTTAAGAAGAGACTGGACAGCCATTGGTCCGAAATGGTGTAGGGTTTCCTGCCCGAGCAGGGGGTTGGACTAGATGACCTCCAAGGTCCCTTCCAACTTTACTACTACTACTATTATTATTATTATCTTATTAAGTACAGTACCCTAAATACTGTATTCCTACATTCCCATCTGATCCTTTCTGACCTCATTGGTTTACATGGGTAGTTCCTAATACAGTTGTAGTTTTTTTTTAAATCAGAAAAGAACATTTTAACCTAAGCTACGCTGTGCTTACAAACAGCCCATACACAAGATTTAAAAGCTAAAGAAAAGCAATAAAACTACCTTCTTCTTGAATATCCACATTATTTCCTTCCTCACTTTGGCTGATCACCTGTTTAGATCTCAGCATGATAAAATTACTCAAAAGATCAAAGTCATCTTTACATTTTCTAGGCTGTTCAGATAGAGCTGACTTATTGCTTCTTAATGTACTATTTGCTGAGATAGAGACTTTCTTGCAACTGACTAATTGATTGTTTTTTTCTACTTCATGGCTTTCAATCTGCACTGGCTTTTCAATTTCATTTTGTGATTTGGTTTGTTTGATATTATTTTCAGTAGATACATTGTTGTTGGCTGTAGAAATACCATACTGTAGTGAAGTAGGTGTCAGAGGTAGTAAAGAAAAAGTCTCATTTTTTTTAGGAGAATAAAAATCCTTGGTCCCAGTATAATGAGGGATACTGAAAATCTTCATGTTGCTGTCGCAGTAGGGATTCTTGTCATCAAGCCATTCTGAAAAGAAAACAAATATTCATCCATTATCTATGTATTTATTTTTCAGTTGAACACAGCTCAGTCAAAAACATATTATGAATTATTATGGGATATCACAATCAATCCAAACAGTTATTCGTATCCTTTGAAATTAGGATATACAGAAAATTCTTGCATAGGGACTGTTGCAAGCAGCAATTCAGTGGTTAACTGAAGTGGTTTGCAAATGAAACCGCAACAGCATTGTGGTCTTACTTCAGTTTTGCTTCCTCTTACAGCCCTGTGAAGGTCATAAATGCAAGGATTGTAAAGTTACTTTTTCATAATTGTGGTAACTGCAAATGGTTGCTAAACAAACTGTTGCTAAATGAGTACTAACCTGCAAAGCAATTGGTGTGATTAAGAGAACATAATTTTATTATTTAATCACATTTTTATAGCTGCCCATCTCACATGATGACTCTGGATGGTATAGATAATAAACAATCAAAATACATACAAAATACATAAAAAACCAATAAACAAGCATTTTAAAGTAAAAATAAAAATAAATAAAGAAGCAGAATAGTAGAAAACACACAAAGAGAGAATTATATTAACTGTCATATAGTTATCTAGCAAGCTCCATTGTATCATGGGATCCTCAAGATAATTGACAGAACTATATTTTAAAAGCTTTCTAGAAGGTCAACAATTTAAAATATTTTAGTAAAAGCACAAGCTTTCTGTAATATAGCTTTTCCAAGGAATTATTCATGTTATTAGAGTAGCTTTCACCAATCTGATTCCCATCCGATGCATTGGGCTATGTTCATTCCCAGTCAGCACACTATTTGTAGCCCAAGAAATTTGGATGGTGTTATTAACTTGACTATAATATCCCCTTTTATGTCTATGAATATTGTAACTATGGGGGATTAGAAATAGGGAATTCTACTTTTCCATACTATCAAAATGGTGTTACTGGATTACATCTCATTAAGGTCACTCTGAAAACAGAACTCTTTTTTTATGTGGAAAAAGCCTTTGTCAGCAAGATAAGAATGAAGGGAATTCATCTCCATTCCCAACACACTTTTGTACAAGTGGTCCTCACTTAACAATCATTTGAAGTTATGATGGCCTCAGAAAGGGTGCTTATAGCCTATGAAGCATTTTTGACTGGTTGCCAAGTGCCCCACAATCATGTGATCACCATTTGCAATTTTGGAGGTGAAGGAATCAGTGACCAGTCATTGAAGGGTGCAAATATGGCTGACTGCCTTTGCAGTGTTTATTGCCTTTTATACAGGTATTCCAAATAGCATAAAGTAACATGGCATCAGCATAGCAACAGCATTTCTATTGGTGAAACCCTTTGCCAATCCTTAAGAATATACCAGCTAGAAGGCCCCAGCGAGGGAGCAGTTTTCTGCCACATCCTGTTGATGTAACCTGTAAGCTGATATCATGTGAACCAGGTGATATCATGTACCAGCCTGGGGTATTTCCCTACATTGCCATGGTGATGTGAACGGATGAGATCATGTAGAGAGAAGAGGCATGCAGGCTTTGGAGGGGCAGTTTGCTGCTCACGACCTTTACCTGACCCCTATCTCTACATGGAAAGATCTGTTTTTACCAACACTTTTACAGAAGGACAATAATTGAACATTAGCTTTTTCTTTGATCTACTGATCAAAGCCTCTATTGAATACAAACAGAATAAAACCAGGGCTGCAAGCTATATGTTACCTTGAGATCTTTGATTATATTCTTTATACGCTGAATCGATGATTTAATACATAATAAAAAATAAAATGAAAAAAGCAGTAACAATCCCTCTTGCACCCTAATAATTTGTGTTCCAGAAAACAATATTGTCTATGGTCTAGGAAAAAACAATAAAGATTTATTTAAAAGACTGGAAGCCTTATATGGACTTTTTATTGAAACAGAAGATACTGAATTGATGATGCGTGGATTTGGAGATTAAAAAGTGTTAATGAGGAAGGAGAAAAACGAAGATGACAATTACTCAATGGAAAGGGACCTTGGAGTGGATGATCACTTGACTATGAGCCAACAGTGTGCAGCAGCAACTAAAAAAACTAATACAATCCTGGGTTGTATAAACAGAGGCATAGAATCAAAATCATGCAAAGTACTAATACTGCTTTATAAAACTCTAGTAAGACTACACCTGGAATACTGCAGCCAATTTTGGTCACCATATCACAAAAAAGAAGTTGAAAGTTTGGAAAAAAAATCAGAGAAAAGCAACTAAGATGATCAAAGGCCTGGAGGCTAAAACATACGAAGAATGGCTGCGGGACTTGGGGCTGGACTAGAAGACCTCCAGGGTCCCTTCCAGCTCTATTCTATTCTATTACATAGAAAGACAAACAAAATTTGAGGAAATAGTAAACATAGTAGCAAAAGGCAGAAATGCTAAAATAACAAAATCAGAAGGTGAAGAATTTGAGTAGCCTAGGAAAAAATAAACTTCATGGATTTTAGCTCAAATTTGACATTCCTGTTTTACAAATCTGTTTGAAAAGTGTTGCAACAAAGGTCCAGAGATGGTTGGCTCACTACAGGCTGAGCATTTCTGATCACAAAAGACAAAAACACAACAAAGCAGCAAATAGCTTTGGGGTTGAATGGTTGTGGTCTACTTTTCTTTTGTTCTGACGTTTTGCCAGCAGCTGTGGCGAGCATCTTCAGAGGCAGAGCGAGCTGCTTTGGGTGTATCTCCTAACAGATGACAGACAACTGAAATGGGATGAACAGACTTTGGAATTTAAACCAGATAAGATGTCTAATGAAGAGAAGGACTACGGGTGACATGATAGCAGTCTTCCAATATCTCAGGGGCTGCCACAAAGAAGAGGGGGTGAACCTCTTCTCCAAAGCACCAGAAGGCAGGACAAGAAGCAACGGGTGGAAACTAACCAAAGAGAGAAGCAACCTAGAACTAAGGAGAAACTTCCTGACAGTTAGAACAATTAACCAGTGGAACAACCTGCCTCCAGAAGTGGTGAATGCGCCAACACTGGAAGTTTTTAAGAAGAGACTGAACAGCCATTTGTCCGAAATGGTATAGGGTTTCCTGCCTGAGCAGGGGGTTGGACTAGATGACCTCCAAAGTCCCTTCCAACTTTATCATTATTATTATTATTATTATTATTATTATTATTATTATTATTATTATTATTATTATTATTATAAGAAGCAACGGATGGAAACTAATCAAGGAGAGAAGCATCCTGGAACTAAGGAGAAATTTCCTGACAGTGAGAACAATCAAGTTCAGAAGTTGTGGGGTGCTCGACCATGGAGGTTTTAAAATGAGATTGGACAACCATTTGCCTGAAATGGTATAGGGTCTCCTGCTTGAGGAGGGGGTTGGACTAGAACAGGGCTTTTCAACCTTTTCACTGATTGTACTACTTTTAGGATATGGCAATATTCGAGTACCACCTAGCAAGGTGTCAAAAACTTGATGACCAAAAAACAAAAAAACAAAAAAACAAAAAACCCAACCTGTTAAAGTTGCAATTGCACTGAAATGACTTATGACCATTTTTCATACTTATGACCATTGCAGCATGCCCAGGGTCATGTGATTTATATTTGGATGCTTGGCAACTGATTCATATTTATGATGGTCACAGTGTCCCAGGGTCATGTGATCCCCTTTTGCAATCTTTTGACAAGCAAAGTCAATGGCAGGGCTGCTGGTGGCCAAGTGCTGAGGCGGGACTTCCCTCCCTCCCTCCCTCCCTCTTTCTCATGCCCACCTCCTTCTGAAGGAAGAATTTGAACCCCCCCCCATATTTTCTCTCTTCCATATATTCATCAAATAAGGAAAAGCCTCCAGAGACAGAAAAGACAAACTGCTGAGTGAGCTAGCTTAAAAAGGCACATTCCCCTTTAAGAATTAGCTACTGGCTAGAAAGGAAAGTTAAGGAGTGCAGCCAGCACTTAAGGAAGAAAAAAATGTAGTAAGTATTGGCTGCCAGCTAAGGCAGTCTCCCCAAATGGCTCCATTCATAAGTAAAGGAATGCTACAGGCAAAATCCATTCAGGAGAAAAATACTTCAAAATCCGTTGCAGTAAAACTTACAGCTAACAATAGCAGAGCAATAGAAGCTAATGGGAGACATCAGCCATCAGCCAAATAGAAATTGCCAAACAGTCCTTAAGAACACAAAGCCCACATTGCACAAATCCCAGAACTTCAAAGTCACAAAAGCACATAAGAATCCTTCCACTCTCCATCTCCCTCCTTTCCTCCCTCCTCCGTGCCTCACCTCCAGCCATTGCTGCCTTGTTTCATTCCTCTTAGAGGGCGACCCCTCCCCCACTGCATTTCTTGCCTATTTGCTGCTGCCAGCACAGATGGCTGCCACAGCAGTTGTAGATTGGCTCATGGCCCCTGCTTGATTTCCTCTCCTCTCCCCCGCACCCCTCCTCCTCCTCCTCCTTCTTCTTTCCCTTTGGTGCAGATAGAGCTGATTCCCCCTCCTCCCAAGGCTGCTGCTTTTTTTCTCTTTCCCTCTCCCGCCCAAACTGCCTCCTTTTATAGCCTCTCCTATCTCCGTCCTCCTTTCTCATCGGGGAGGGTGAGCCAGAAGTGAGCCTGGGGCCTTTGCCTCACCCCAGCCACTCTGCAGCTCCAGAGGACTCTCTCATAGTAAGTCCTTGCCTGCACTGGCTCTTTCCCTCCCCGACTACACTTGGCTAGGCAGGGCTGCGTACCACCTGCCACTTGTTAATGTACCACAAGTGGTTCGCGTACCACAAGTGGTACGCGTACCACCGGTTCAAAAGCCCTGGACTAGAAGACCTCCAAGGCCCCTTCCAACTCTGTTGTTCTGTATTCTATATGTCCCAAGCACTCATAGTAGATACATTTGATAGTCTGTACACATGAACTTCTCAAATTGAGTTTAGGTATCTATCCAGTTCAATTTCAAGTTATCACAAGAAGCAAAAGAATTAAAATGAAAAGGATAAGACTTATTCAAATAAAAGAAGGGAGTAGTAGTTAAAAATATGCATGATCTTGACAGACTCATTTCTGTCATAAGTATAGTTAGCTATAGTTCCCAGGACAGTAGAGCAGACACAATATTGCCTCAAGCAGCATATTTCCAGCGCCAACATTCTCTATAATGATGCCATCATAGAATGTACTTGCATGCCGTACTACCTTTCCCATAGTGCCATAGCACTAATAGAATGCGGGGAGCTAGCATGCTCATCCCATATCTTCTAATATCTTTTAGACAAATTCATGTGGAAATGAAATATCTTATTTTCATTTAAAAAGAACTGAAATAAAATTTAAAATACTTACTGTCTAACTGGAAATTAGTAATTTTGGAAAAATCTTCAATATTCATATTATCAAGTCTTCTCTCATCATTTACATTTATGCTCAGTGCTTCTAAGACACACGGTACAGTCAGGTTTTCTCTTAAATTAATCCACTCATCTTCTTCCAAGAGTCCGGCAGTCATGGAATTTTCATGTATAGACAACTTTGTCTTCAGTTCTGTGACTGACAACTGTTGACATATAGCCATAGAAGTTTGAGGTACTGTAAAAAAATAAATGACATACAGTTTATTTTCATCCCTACGTTCCAGTTAAGTTATCATACATTTGTATCTGTGCATATTTAGCTGTCAAATATATCGTGCTGGTTATCCTCATGGGACTGAAAAGTTCCTGAATATAAACTCTTCCTTCTGAGAAATCACCACTATATTACTCAAAAGTAAATTTGAATGAGATCAATGGGTACATTGCAAGATGCAAATTTAAGTCTATAGCCTTAAGAAGCAAATCTTACTTAACTATCAGTAAGGCAATTGAATATACTTTGAAAATTATTTGGAAAAGATCTTTTGGATTGTACAGGAGCATAAGGTACCCAAATACAACACTGATTTAAGGCAGCCACATCTGTTTTGGGGCATCCTTGTAATCTTGAAAATAGATCTGTCTGCTTTAAGGAATTGGCCCATTAAAGGAGTGATCTTAAAAGAGCTCTGTCTGTTTCAAAATTAGGGAAAAGTGAGAAAAAAGATGTGGATGCTTCAAAGATATGCTGATTGCATTTTCCTGCATATTCTGAACCATGTCTTCTAAATAATTTTCCAAGTAGGTGCAGTTCTATTGACTACATTGATTACATACAACTTTCTCATTAAAATACATTTTAATAGAAAGAAAAACCTATTTAATGGCCAAGAGACAGATTTTCCAGTTTGTTATACTTATCTAAAGTATTATCTAATAAGCTTATTTAGGAAAACAGAAATTTGTTTCATACTCATATTAATCAATCTAGCTCAGTACTGTCAACACTGAAAATATTAGCAGTTTCTCTCCAAAGTTTCAAGGATATTTTTCAGAGTCTATTTCTGCCTGAAAGATGTCAAGGACCAAACCACATAGCATTCTCTATGCAAGCAAATGCTTATGGTTATTCATGGATTTGTTCTATCAATTCAAGATACAATAGTACTTAAAAATTTGTAAACTGTTTTGAACCTTTAATATTTCTGCATAAATATGACCTAAAAGATTATCAGTTTTCCACACAAGTGCTAAGACTACATGAAAAGACCCAGTCAAACAAATGAGTCAAAAACATTATACTTGTTCATTTATTTATTGGGGAAAATAATCCAAAGATACATATTTGTGTGTGCGCGAAAAGTATGTGAACCTTTACTAAATCTAAATTCAGAAATTGTACTTAATTACCTATTAGGAAAAGTGAAGTCATAGCATTCTGGTATTTCTCTGACTGCCACATAAGCCCTTCCAAATAGTTTGAAGTAGATTCTGTAATGAAATCACTAAGGGAAAAGAAAACAGGAAAAACATTAGGTTCTGTATCCTGTTTTCAGATAGACAAACAAACAGATAGATGTAAGTTAACATATAAATACTGTCTCTTTTCTACACCAATTTTTCATTTTTAGCAAACATAAACTCAGAAGAACTATAATTTTACACCAACACAGAAATTTTAATTTCTTTTTCCTCGTGCAGCTTGAATATCTCTAATAATTATTTAACAGAGTTGAAAGCAAAGAATCTACTCACTTACTAGAAGTATTTGGTTATTTTGCTAGAATGCAGGGTAGAAAATTATATGTGTGAGAAGAGAAAAATTAAGCTGCTATATCTTTTTGACCCACTAAACCAGTGGTTCTCAACCTTTCTAATGCTGCGACCCCATAATACAGTTCCCCATGTTGTGGTGACCCCGAATCACTTATACATCACCAGGTGCCAGGGGCGTGGCCAAAGAAAAGGGGGAAAAAATGGCGGACAGCCTTGTTTGGCGACCCCCGTGAAATGGTCGTTCGACCCCAAATAGGGTCCCGACCCACAGGTTGAGAACCACTGCACTAAACCAAAACGCAGTTCATTAGTCAATTACACAATCAGCAGTTGATCCCCTAGGCACAATAAGCCGTATACTGTATTCCTGTTGAAAATATTTTGTTGTTCCAGATCAGTCATGGTCATTGCTTAAAGAAATTATCAGCACATATTTGTGCTTAGAAAACAAAAACAGAGACTGTGTATTTCTTCAGAGGTTGCTGAACTCTAGTGACATTTAATAAATCAACCAGAACCATTTCAGGTGAATTTATAATAGGAGCTTTATGTATTTTTCAAACTAATATATTTACTTTCCTAAATATTTTTTCTATTTTTTTAAAAAAAAATTATAATAATTAGAAAGACCTTGTATGGTATAGTGGTTAAAGTGTTAGACTGATGCTTAGAGATGCAGTTCTGCTCTAGCTTCAGCTACAGAAGCTTACTGAGTGACTTTGGGCTACCTTCACTCTCTCAGCCCAACTTTGTCACAGTGCTGCGAGTATAGGAAAAAACAGGAGGAAGGAGAACGATATATATAAATAGCCTTGGGGTTTATGAAGTAAAGGTGGAAAATAATCTTAATAAATAAATTCAATATAATAGAAAAATAACTAACTAAACCTAACACTTGAAACGATTACCATCGAAATATAAACAAAAAAGCATATTTAATACACCCCCCCCACACACACACGTAAAATTACAATTAAATCACCTTCCTCTAAGGCAGTGGTTCTCAACTTTTCTAATGCCGCGACCCCATAATACAGTTCCCCATGTTGTGGTGACCCCCAACCACTTATACATCACCGGGTGCCAGGGGCGTGGCCAAAGAAAAGGGGGGAAAATGGCGGACAGCCTTGTTTGGCGACCCCCGTGAAATGGTCGTTCGACCCCAAATGGGGTCCCGACCCACAGGTTGAGAACCACTGCTCTAAGGAGGACTGAAACTAGAATGCAATGGGGGAAGCAGCATCGAAAGGTCTCATTCCCCCCCCCCCCAATGAGCAAATAAAATATAGTAAAGACAAAAATGCCCTTACCTTTTATTAATGGGAGAAACAGGTTCTGGTTTTAAGTGGACATACAATGAATTCATGTGCATATTTTCTTTCCTACATAGAGGAGTTAATGGCACCTCAAGTTCTCCAATGTAATTTACTGGCAATTTCAAAAAAAAAAAAAAAAAAGAAAAAGATTTTAAAGTACAATGGTTTCAGTATTTCTCAATATTAAGAATACAATAATCTGAAATACAGATGGAAGTAATTTGCATTTTAACCAGGCTTTGATGATAGTAATAAAACCAAGGAAGATACACTGTTTAACTTTTTTGACATCGATGACAAAACCTGCAGTGAAAAACTGCAAAAAAAAAAAAAAAAAAATACTTAGTACATGTATATACAATTCTTTTTTCCAGCATTAGAAAGACTAGTTTTTCAATTGCAGGAATGTGCTAGAGCAGTTTAGGAGGCAAAAGCCTTCAGCATGTAACTAATTAAAGTGTTGTCAATTTTCAGGCATCAGGGTAAGCAGACAGAGGGCACGAAATAACAGGAATGGGACAACTTGCCACAGCTGAATTGCCATGGCCGACTCGCCACGACCAGCACACCATGGGACAACTCACTGCGGGACAATTTAACAATTCTATTTAATTATTTAAAAGAAAATAAAAAATATTTTAATTTTTGCCATTCACATTTCATTCTGTCCTTCTTTTTGTATCCTTTCTTTAATGATTCTTTTCCATCATTTCTTTGATATTAGTGTAACTTTTGTCCCGCAACGAATTGTCCTATGGCGAGTTGGCCCACAGCAAGTTGGCCGCAGTAAATTGTCATAGAGTAGACCCATAAATAGCTAAGGTCACAGAGTGAGCTTGTTAACTTGTGATTACAGTAGCAGTTATTAGAAAAGTGCTGTGCTGCAGAGAAAAGCTGCTCAGGAAGAGATAATCAAGAAACCAATTGACTTTAAGGCTATGCCTTCTGGATGAAGAACACAAGGACAAAAAAGGAGAATATGTCCTCCTTTTGCTGGTTGTCCAGTAACCCTAGTACAGATGTACCTACTTGGATTGTTGAATTCTGGTAGATCTTTGCCCTGACTCGAATAAACCTCTTGAGTAAAGTAATGTTTTGAGCTCTTTATCATCTCCGGTATAATTGTCATGTTAAGTTCTGGAAAAGATATTAACACAAAACTGAATAATGTAATGTCCTTTCCCTAGAGAATATGCATAATGTTTAATTGCATTAGTAAAAGGAACAGAAATAAAATGTCAATGGGCAATGTGAAATATGAGAATTGGTGCCAAAATATAACACTTTGTAATTCTTACTTTCATTAGTTATTCTGACACATTCATTTTCATCTTCTAAAATTTCTGGAGTTATTTGTAATGAAGATTTTAGGGCTAAACATGTGAGAATCTCCTTATCCAGCTTTGCATTTGTTGCTTCACAGAATTGAAAATTAACAAGAAATAAAGGAATCTAGGAAAAAAGACAAGAACAATATCTGATACAATAGCTTGTAGATACAAAGTTTTTGTATTCTATCTAGTTTCTTAAGAGGTCAGCTCTTAGTAGCTTGTGGAAATACCCCATTGTGGAAGACACAAGAAATCTCTTATGCCAGATCTTTCTCATCTTTCTCATCCTGTCCAGAGCCCCACAGTTTTCTCAAATGGCCAAACTTTACCTCCAGGCACAACTGAGATATATACTGATATGATATCAGTGCACTTATCAATTGTCAACTAATAATTTTTCGCCCAGGCCTCTCATGCTCCTGCATTGTAGTGGCCTGCTCATATTATGATTAGCAATTTCTTCCACATAGAAGAAATGCCCCAAATCAGCCTCCAGATTATTGTTTTTCTGTCTTCATTGTTTAAACATAATCCCCTAATTTCTATTCTATATTTCATACTACTTGTGCAAGGGCATAGATTTTACTTTTATCATTGACCTGATACTGGCTGTTTTAATCTCTTAAGTTTGTTTCTTATTGTAGAGTACATTAAAAAGCATTGACCAACTATTTTGAGTGATTCTGAAAAGGCTGCTGAGGTTTTTTTCTATAATTTCTTCTGAAAGAAGCAGGATCTCTGAAAGAAGTGGCAATCTCGCTTTCTGGAAAAAATTACCTACTGATATCAAGTTGGCCATCAATTTATTAAAATTTTGGAAAGTGCTAAAAACGGTATTTTCCCAACTTACTCTTAAGAATCTAAAATTGTTTGTGGTGCAGGGACATTTTTTAACATCTTTGTTAACGATGGGGTCGATTGATTCATTTTTAAAGATATTAATATACCATATAAATCACCTAGGATTTAAGTAGGTTAAATGTTGTGAACTAAATAAAAATATTTTCTTATTTAAGAAAATAATAAATTATTTAAATAATATTGTCACCCACTGTATGCTTCCCCCTCCAAAAACATTTTAATATATGTTAAAAACTTGCAGACTTTTAGAAAACTCTTTATTAACTAGACTATACTGAGATCTTTACTGAAGTAGAAATATTCCACTGAATACAGAAGAACAATAGCTTTGGAAACTATTGATAACAGTTCATTAAATATTAATAGGCCAGGACATTTGCACAGCACTCCATATCAGGAAAATAGGTAGCTATTTCCCATGTTGATCAAATATTGCTCGTATAAGAATTTAAAAGTACCACCCTAACAAGCTTTGAAATAACCTGGTGCTAAATAAAAGTATCCAGTTTTTGAGATGTCTGTAATCCAATACTTTTTAAAATAAACTTGATTAAAGAACACTTTGTGAGAATGTTGTTTTCTGTTGTCATAGTTTGTCAGTATTTTCTTTTACATTTCTGTGAAAAATTTAATTTATAATAGAACTGCAAAGTGATTTGATACACTCTGCATAATTTATTGAATCATTCTTGTACCTCTTCATCCTTTAAAGAAACTTTGCAGAAATCTTCACTTAATTCCATCCCTTTTTCTTGAGGTGTCACACTCCTTCTGAAAGTCAAGCACTCCCTTTTAAAATGAAAACACAAGCATATACTTTGTATTAGGTATTATTTGCTTCAACAATAATATAGTAATATAGAGGCATGTTTTCAACTTGTAAAACCCTAAAATCTGTTCTAATCTGGAGAATGAGTTTTAATTACTTCCAGGTTGGAAAATCATGATTAATAATAATTATATATATATATATATATATATATATATATATATATATATATATATATATATATATATATATATATATATATATATATACACACACACACCATCCAACTATGCTTAAGACTGCTGGTTTGGAGGAAGGAGGAATTTTTCAAAATTCGTACTTCATTAAATATTTCTTTTCAGGGGAAATACAATAAGTTTATTTCATACGAAGTAAGCAAAACATGAGGAATGAGGAAAAAACAAAACAAGTTTTTAGAAGTATTTACTTCCAAAATGTAAGGTACACACTATGTTAAAAATCCTAACATTCATTATTAGGCATCTTAAATATTTGACTAACACAAACCAGCAATATATATCAGAAATATTTTGAGGCTACTTTTAGATTCAGCAGTAACAGGATAAGAAAACAATCTGAGTTAATCAGAATAATACTCTTTGTATTAAATATATGCAGTCTCAGTTATATATAAGTGAAGACATGTTGAAAAATAAATGTGGAGCATGTCAGCATGATGTTATTGAATATTTTTTATTTATCAAAGTTATCTATCTTCCTCAAAGGGGATTAGAAGATGATTTCATTTTAATAATTTAGAAAACATTTTCCATATATTAACACCAAAAAGTGAAAGATTAAGGCGGTAATACTTTAACTGAATAGTATAATGTCCAAAGCATTTTAGTGAAGCTGTTCTCTAGGAATGTTAAAATATATCTTAATTGTTAAGGCAACATGTATTTCATTAAATAAATGTTCCATAAATTTGAAGAATAATAGGTTAATGAACTTTTAAATTATATCCCAGGCACACTTGTCTGTGAACAACTCAGAAGCTAGTTCATCTTCTTAAGTTTTAAAAATCAAGTATTTCCTCTTTCCTTCATGTACAGTTGCACACTGTAATTTTGCTTCCTATAATAAACTAGAAATTCACTGATAATTAGTTACAGTTTTGAATCTGAATCTATCTATTCATCCATTAAAGTTAGCACATTCCACTCAAATCACAACTTGAAAATAAGCTTCTTAGGGATGAATGGGTCATTTGTATATAGAAGTTTTTCATTGCTTGGTACTTTTAGATATGTCAAACAGCATTTTCCATCATCCCCAATCAGCATTGCTACTAATAGTATTGGGTGGGCATCAAATTAGGGTCTGAAATGCAACCAACAACTAATTAATGTGCCTTCAGTTTTTTTTTCTCTTTGGCTCCTCTTGTTAATAAATGTGGATAAGACAAAAATAAGTATTTTGTTAATATTTTCCCCCCAATCTTGGGATTCCCAAAAAGACAGATAATGAAGCTCTGGCTGAAAATGACTTCTTCAAGAGTCACACATAAGCACTGTTGCATTCTTGAGCCACTGAATTTTTGCATTGGGAGCCACTGAATAGAATGAATATATAAAAAAATGGCAATAGTCTCACACTACCATGCAGCATATTTACAATAGTTCTCTATAATTTTAGTTTATTGTTCCATGTTAGCACAAGCCACTATGTAAAACTACAGTATAGCTATTATAACTAATAAGTCACAAACATTTATCAAAGTGATGTCCTACTTTGCCATAAGTAACCATTAAAATGTGCAGAAATAAAATCAAAAACAAAAATTAAGATAATAATCATATACAACCTTTATTGCATCTCATTTAGTAGCGCAATACCTCAATATGTCTTCTTCTATGAAACTGTCACCTTTAAAATTTAAAAGGGGATCTTGTACTTGGAAAACACTTAGCCGACTCAAGAGTGTTTGCAGAGTAGGTAGACGTTTAGCAGACTGTGTCAAATTATTAGTGAAAACAAGTTCTTCTTCAATATATAAACCTTAATAATATAACAATGAAAAATATCAATGTGACACCTTTATCAATCATTTTGCATGTATCTGTGAACTATTTATAGTGGCTGCAGTTTTAGGTATTTTGGACACGTTACATAACTTATTAATTCCTGTAGTTAAAAATTACCACATTTTCAGAGATACAAAATTACAATCAAAATGTATTTACTTTCAGGAACGATTAATTAACATTTATGAGCACATGGCAGATATTAAATATTCCTGTTCCTCAAAATTATTTTGTTTGAAAGAATTATGATACTAATTCTGTGAGTCCAAAGGAGGCTTTACACTTGTTTTTCTCAGACAGGAGTGCTCAGTACAGCATGGCAAACAGATTTGGGAGAGAATTTTCACAGATGTTTGCAATGTTGTCTGATGATTTGCTGCTCCAAGAAAACAAAAAGATCTTTTTAGTCTGCTGAAATCTTTTGCATGAGAGTTTCCTTTTCTCTCTTTTTTTTCCTTGCTAGTCACATGTATCCATTTTCCTTTAATTTTAAAAAAGATTAAATTAATCATTATCAAATTATCATTCAAAACTATTTTTTTCTCCTTAACACCTGGCAGTGGCACTACTGCACTAAGACTAGGCAAAAGTCATATTCCTATTAAAACCAATGGATTCCTCAGACAGTAGATTTAACACACTATCCTCCAATCCTCCAAGCAGCACAAAGTATACCAGCATGAACATGCTGGCCTTTATTCTTTCTTGTTAATGAAGGCAATGAGTAGTGCGATCTGAACGGTTTAGCATAGACCAAGTTGAAGTGCAGCAATTGGCAAACAAAACATACACCGTTCCCCCAAATATGAATTGGAGTTGGGGGAAGAATCAAATTTAGAGTGATAGATTTAGCCAACCATCAGAACTTGATCTGCAAGGTATGTTGAGAGTTTCTGATCCTGCTTTAGTGTATTGGGAAGCCTTCACCCATCCCATGTATCAGTTTTTGCCTCTAAAACCTCACCTCCATGAGGCATGGAGGAAAACTAATAAAGGAGGTTCCTTCTTTTTTTTAGTGGGAAATTCCTCATCCATATGGCTGCCTGCATCCCATTCAATATGCTACATGGGGGTACTGAGAGTTAAGATTACTTCAGTCATATTCTTTCCTCAGAACCTCAGTAAAAAAAAGTATTTTTTCCCTCAGGGAAAAAAGTATCTAATCTTGGTCTGAGGATGAAAGGAAATCTGTACCACATTGGCTTATCTTTTGAGATTGATTAAGATAGCATCTTCAAGTCAACATGCAGATATGGTCAAAGCAGGATGAGTCAGCAAAGTTACTTCAACAGTATAAGCCAGGGATAGTCAACCTTTTTATACCTACCGCCCACTTTTGTATCTCTGTTAATAGTAAAATTTTCTAACTGCCCACCGGTTCCACAGTAATGGTAATTTATAAAGTAGGGAAGTAACTTTACTTTATAAAATTTATAAAGCAGAGTTACAGCAAGTTAAAGCATATAATAATAATTACTTACCAAATACTTTATGTCGGACTTTCGCTAAGTTTGGCAGAATAAATCTTTATAAAACAACTTACTGTAGTTAAATCTATCTTTTTATTTATACTTTGCATGCATAGAAGCATGAAGTCTGATGAAATTACATTTAATTAATTAAATTATTAATGAGATCCTTGAGGCTGATGCTGTGAAACTAAATACTGGATATCTGGCTCAATTTTTGTAAGGAACAAACGAAGGTCTTCTCTTTCGGAAATATTCGGCGGTTTCTTTCTTTGGTCATAATATGATTAATAGCACTAAAGCCTGATTCCACAAGATATGAGGTAGGGAAAGGTATCAATAAACTGAATATCATTTTCCACATATTTGGATATAACACAGGCATTTTTTTACTTTGCCATAGGTTTTCATATCCACCACTATCAAATTTATGTTTACTTTCTTCATCATATCTAATTTCTAACAGTTCTTCTTGGCAAGTTGTATCAGCCTCTTCAATATTTGCGGTAAAAGGATTTTTCATCCAGTCATACACCTTCAATTTCAAAATATCTTCAAATCATTTTTCCATGTCCAATTTAAGTTCGTTGAGGTGGCTACTGAATCTGTCAATATACTCTGGAGTTACATCATCTTTTATAGATAATAATTCAGGAAACTGATGAAATCCTCTCTTCAATAGATTATAACGAAGTAGTTCAAGTTTGTCAATAAATAATGACACAATACTTTGACAACCTATAAGTGTTTTGTTAGCTCCTTGAAGCTGCAAATTGACATCATGAAATCTCTTGAAAATATCTGCCAAATAAAAGGCATCATTCTTTACTGTTTTTAACTGTTGACACAGATTGGTCTCATTATTACTTTCAAAAAATTGTATGACACTATCATATAATGCTACAAAATGAGCCAAAGATGTACCCTTTGACAGCCACCGAACTTGTGTGTGCAAAAGTAACGTAATAAAATCTTCATTATTGTCCTGACAAAGCTGTCGAAACATTCTATCATTTTTTGCATTGGATTTGATCTTGTTTATGGCTTGAATTATTATAGTTAATGATGAATGGAGACTTGTACTTAGATGTTTTCCTACAAGATGTTGTCTGTGCACCACACAATGAATACATAAAATATTTGGCACTTCTTCCTTCAAATAAGCAACAAATCCACGATAGCAACCTACCATTGATGGTGCTCCATCAGTAGGCATGCAACAATATTATTCAAAGGAATATTATTTTTTGTAAAGTATGATTTCACAGTATTAAATATAGATAATCCTCTTGTATCTGTAATGAGATTTATTGCGAATAGCATTTCTTCTTGTAATGTATTGTTTTCATCAAAATAACATACATATGCTATCAATAAAGCATTATTATCTGCAAGAGTAGACTCGTCCAATTGCATGGAAAATGAAGAGTTTTGGAGAATACTTATCAGTTTTTTTTCAACATTAACTGCCATTTCTTCAATTCGTTGCTTTACTGTGCTATCGCTTAGGGCAACGTTTTTAAAATTTCAGGTATATCCTGATGCATTACTGTTGAGATAAATTCTTTTATAGAGGGTATTATTACAGTTTCTCCAATATTATAGCTTTTACCACTTTTTGCAATTAATTGTGAAATGTGATGTGGCAATCCATCTTCGTTTGCTGAATGTTGTTTCTTAAATGATGCAACGATTGTTGAACGATTTTGAATTTTTTTATATATTTCCTGAAAATATTCAATGGGCTTGTCATCATTTGGATCAGTGGTTCTCAACCTGTGGGTCAGGACCCCATTTGGGGTCGAACGACCATTTCACGGGGGTCGCCAAACAAGGCTGTCTGCCATTTTTTTCTCCCTTTTCTTTGGCCATGCCCCTGGCACCCGGTGATGTATAAGTGGTTGGGGGTCACCACAACATGGGGAACTGTATTATGGGGTCGCGGCATTAGAAAGGTTGAGAACCATTGATTTGGATGCTTTGTAGAAACATGTTCTCGCAATCGACTTGGCTTCATTGCCTCATTGGATAATGTTTTATGACATTGGCTGTTGTTTATTTACAACAGATTCTATGAAACCTATTTTCAGATACTCTGGCAAATAGCCACGAGCGTATTTCTTTTTTTGAGACATGGACTCACAATATTTTGTTTGAAGCTGTAGGCACGTGCTCACTCTCACAAATCTAATTGCGTACTGACCAGTTTGACCACAAACAAAAGAGCCTGTGCCATGTATTGTCATCTGCGCATGTCTCTCACGCATTGTGGATTGGGTTTGGGGGGGCGCCGGCTATCAGCTCTGCTTGTCTGTTACAGCTGGGTGGTGTGGGGGGAGATGCACGAGCTATTCTGAGATGAAGTTCTTTTGTTTGCGGTCGCACTATAACGCCATTTAGTTTCACTTATGTAACGTGAACTAAACTTATGCACGGGCGATACAAATAGTATATTTTCAGAAATTTAAATTGTCATGGGGAATTTTATGAAAACCTAATGAAAATGCTTTTAAATAATGCTATGAAAATTTTTTTAAAAGTCAATTAAATTAAAAAAAAGGAAAGTACTTCAGTATCGGACAAAACCCTTACTGCCCACCATGAAAGCTGGAACGCCCACTAGTGGGCGGTAGGGACCAGGTTGACTACCTCTGGTATAAGCTTTTGAATTAATACAATGTTTCTCCCCACGCTCAGACCTACACACTTTAAGAGTATTATATCTTGAGTGTACATTTAATTAATTCTATTAGAAAAAGCCTCAGCAGGCTCTCATTGTGTATTTCCAACCAAGAACAATAATCACAATAGTCACAAAATAATAGTGTCCTCTAATGACAAGAGTAGAATGTGACTCTAATTTTACTTCAGGGGGAGAAAAAAGTATCAGGCATGTACAATTTTGTAATTGTGTGCCACGCCACAGTAGTTTAGAAGTCTTGGACGTATGAAATATGGAATGCAATTTACCTTCTTTAAGTGCAACTGGAAAATAATCCAGCTGCAGTCGATTTCTATCAGCTAGTTCCTCTTTGTCAAGTTCCTCTTTCATAAGCATATAATCTTCTGTACTAAACTGAGAACAAGGATTTGAACTTGGAATAATTTCAAAATCTTCACTAGGAGTATGGAAGGCAGTATTTGAAATGGGTTTCCTGAATAGTGAAAAGTTAAAATATTTTAGTCCATGAAATATATTAACGATCTGTACTGGTTACTTATTTCTGATAGATTTGCAAAGTGCTGTGACAGTTAGTTACTTACCTAGCTACTTCATAATAATAACATCTATTACATCCCAGTAAAGACAGAATCCGGACTTATATAAAGACTTTATGCCAATTCAAAAATAGTTCCAGTCTCTGTGGTCCCACAACATTGGCTGTGCTCAGCATTTCAATCAATTTATTTTTGGCTGGTCAAATGTTTAACTCAAATTGTCCAAATATCTGTCTCTTTTTACCTTCCCTTGGTAGGTATAAAATAGCAATGGTGCAAAATATTAGGTTGTTTGGTTTTTTAAAATATTTTTCCCTTTTATGAGAAGTAGATGGGCTTAATGAAATTTTGATTATTCCAGTTGAGGAACAGTAATATTTTTATGGAAGAGCCTATACAAAAGTTCTAGTTTTGTAACTTAAAAAGAATGTGCTTTATGGAAAACATGTCACCTTTGCTCCCCCACCCTAGCCAGTGCTATAGCCTATACCCATGTTGAAAGAAATTAGGAAAAGAATATAAGTGCAGAGCTGATGACATAGTATCATTCCATTTTCACAATTCTCAGCAGGCTTTTAATAATTGGTAAACAAACCTTTTCATCCCACTACTGAGAGCCAGTTTGGTATAGTGGTTAGAACATCAGGCTAGAAACTGGGAGACTCTTAGTTCTAGTTTTATCTTAGATAGAAAGCCAGCTGGGTGACTTTGTGCCAACCGCTTTCTTTCATCTCTACGGAGGAGGCTATGGCAATCCTGCTAAGAAAACTGCTATGCAGATTTTAATAGATATTCTTTGTATCATTGGATATTAAACTGAAGGCACCTCATTTATAGAATAGAATAGAATAGAATAGAATGATAACTATATTGCCACTTTGAATGTACACTAATCCACATACATTAAAATGAAATTTCATTGCATACAGCTCTCAAAGGATCACCGCCTCTGATATACATTACATAAATATGACAAAAATAAATAAATACAGAATTATGCATATATCCACATATGTTATATGACACAGAGAAACAACAGTCTAGTTCGGGTTATGCATGCATGTGCATGGCAAGAAAAACGAATCTTGTGAGTTTACCAGACGGATGGCCTAGGGAACAAAGCTATTACAGAGTCGGGTAGTCCTGCTAGAAATACTTTGAAACCTCCTCCCAGAGGGGAGCAACAGAAAAAAGACCATAAAGTGGGTGTGTGGAGTCTCTAACAATGCTCTGAGCTTTAAGCACATAGCGCTTATAAGCAGCATCCTGAATACCAGGAAGCGAGCTTCCTATGATCTTCTTGGCTATCCTTACCAGTCTCTGTATGGACTTTCTATCTGAGGCACTGCTGCCACCAAATCAGACAGTGATGCAGTTTGTTAAAATGCTTTCAATCGTGCCTCTGTAAAAAGTGGCCAGGACAGAAGGTGAAATATGTGCCTTCCCATAGAATAATTCAACTGTGCTTTTTTTGTTTTAGTTGGTCACAGTAGCTTCTGTCAGTGCATAGCAGCTGCTGATAGCGGGATGGATTTATTAATCAAGGTAGATTGGATCCCCTCTGACACTTCATTAAAATGAAGCGATGCACCTATATCTCCAAATAAGGCAGAGATATGTCTTGATGAAGTGACATAGCCTATCAAGGACGCAGTTTTCATAACTCTACATAAGATGTATTGACAATGAAGTTATGAGGGTAGTAGTAATTGATTCTCCAGACTGGCAGTTCAGGCATCATAATCTAAAAACGCAGCAGACATGAATGCAAAGAAGGCAAAAGCCAGGAGCTTTATCAAAAGATCCTTTGTTCCACCTAAAAATGGAAAAGGAGGCTGAGCATACCAAAAGCATCTCTTAATTCCACTGACAGCTACTAGAGTTGTGAATCAACAAAGTGCAACATACTTTTAAAAGATGTTCTGGCAGAGATTGTTATCCCCCTTCAGGGGTGCTTTAATTTGGACTCCTATCCTGAGCAAGAGATTGCCTGTGACTACCATACTTGTGAAAGAACAAAACAAGGATTTCGGTGATAAAAAAATCCTGAAGCCCACCATTCTTGGAGTCATCCTGGAGCCAGACTTGGTGGCTTCTGTCTTTCTATCTAAAGCCTGGCAATCTAGTTGAGAAACTGGGTATGAACACATGAGTGTGTGAGAGAGCAATTATACATTCTAACAAATATAGTTTTTCTATCATTGTGAATTATTTGGGTTTTGTGTATTTCATCAGAACCCGACATGCCTCAGTGTTTGGATGAAAATGATTTCCTAATTATTTTTCCTAATTTTCTAATTAGTGTGTTCTAAATAATTTTCTTGCTGTTGACCCACACTATCTATCTTGTACATTGTAGGCACATCTACCTGGGACACCCAGGCAGAGAGCAAGGGGAGATCTGCATATGATCAAATGACTATAAGCTGAACCTGGGAGTGTATGCAACAGCACCATTTGGCTCATTGGGTTCCCAATATGTTCTGAAGGTAACAAGATTGGCAGGAGTGGAAATAAGAGCAGGCCGGCTTCAAACTGCTTTGGGAAATTAGGAAGGGCAAATAGTGCCCTGTAGAATCCTCCTCAAAGTTACAAATTTGGAAAAGGTCATTTAAATCATACAGGATTTAGACTCAGGATAGGAGTCTAAATTAAACCATCCCTGAAGGGGGATATCAACCTCTGCGTGAACATGTCCGGCACATGGAAGTGGTTAAGGTACCAGGCTAGAAATCAGGACACTGTGAGTTCTAGGTTTATGTTGGGCATAAAAGCTGGCTGGATGACTGGGCCAGTCACTCTCTTTCAACTCACAACGTTAGGCCCAGGAAACAAGCTGGTCAGACAAATCCTGTTGCAAATTGTACCCCACACTTGTGGGAAAATGCTAGGAGAAAAAAAAAATCTGTTAAATTACCTCTTCCATTGAAACCAACTGGAGGAAAACTAACCTGGTCTGAGGTAAAGGATTGAAGAAGCTCAGTCTGGCTATGTCAGTGTTTCTCAACCTTGACAATGCCGGCTGTGGAATTCTGGGAATTGAAGTCCACATGCCTTAAAATTGTCAAGGTTGAGAAACACTGGGCTATGTGGTGGTTGAGCAGCGTAGTGATTTGAATCCAGACATATTCTGATGGTTAAAACAGGCCCTACTGGATTTCTGCCCACTCCAAATTTTGGAAGATTAGATTACTTGATATATAATAATTACTAGATTATAGTATATAGCTCTTTGAAGTTCATGATGGGAAATGGAACGCAATAGGAAAATACCTCTCTAATAATCACTGAATGGGATAAAAGTTACTAATGGCTTTATATATTTTTTTGCCTATACATTTTCTTTAACAAAGATCAGATTTAAAAACCATTCCTTTTTCTTTTAAATTTCTATTTAATTTTCTAGTACTGTATGTCTGAAATTAAAATTTTTTGACTCTCCAATCAATCTTTTGGCTTAATAACAGGAATGTCAGCAGAAAATCAATATAATCTCTGGAAAACAAGAGGACCAAAAACATAAAAAAGTATCAATGGATTAATTATTTTAGCTTATCTGTTGTCCATTTGTAAAGACTTCAGCTTAACTGACTGTTTAAAAATTACCTTTTACTATAATATATTAACCTTGAAGAGCAAAGAGTTTTTTCCATTAATGACAAATCAATGTTAGAAAATTATTAATTTAAATAGCTGGATTCAGATTCTATGCTCAATAGTCTTTCTTCTAGCAAAAAAATTTATAATTATCTGTAAATGAATAAGGTCATCTTGTTTTGCCTTTCATTTGCCTATACAGAAATAGCTAGAGGTCCTAAATGCTATGACAGTCTTCTCCATTTTTTATTTTATTTTGAGATATAAATCTTTACATTGCATCCTTTGAACAAGGCTATTGTCAAGCACAAGGAACTAGGATGACACAGGGAGCTGATCAGAATATGTTCATCACTACTTGCCTACTGACAGGAAGCTCACCAGAATAATAATACACTCACTACAGGAACTGCTAGATAAGCATTGCACCATTTAGGAAGGATCTGCTTTCCGCTGCTTCCTCCCCATCAGCAATTCAAGCCAGTATTTTCACTCTTCCTTTCACTTGAGGTCCAGATTCCACCACAGCTATACAACTAGCATATAGTTTAATCAGCTGTATAAGGGACGTTAATACAGTAAAAATCCTCCCGTTTACCAAGGCAACAAGTCTTGTTGCATTCCTAATCCTTAATTTTGGCATGGTAGTAATTCTGCAATTAAGACTTTATAAAACTACACCAGCTGATTTAACAACCAGATACTAAAAGACAGAACAAGTCAAGGATCCTCTCCAATAGAGGCATGAATTTCCCCTTCAAACACAAAGCAGCAATACTGTTGCTTTTTCTGAACTAGTATTTGCCACCTTCAAACAGCATTTCCCTAACCTCAAGTAACCTTTGTCCCATGATCAGCTGGCACCTTCATTTGGAAAATCCCTGTGTAAATTAACTTGGAAGCCAACACTGAGTGTTGCCTCCAACTTAAAAGATGACTCACTTCTCTAAGAGATCTTCAGTGAAGAAATACTTTTTCCAAATATCAAGTACTGAAATGTTCATCATAGTGGAATCAGCTGAAGCTAGAGCAAAAAAAAAAAAAAAAAAAGAAAACAGAAAAAAATACGGTAACCATTTATTTCTTTATTTATCTTTCAAGGAGGAATTCTAAAAGATGAAATAAACATTATAATGAGGATAGTCTACGGAATCCTCCAGATAGAGAAATATAGCTAGTTTGAGTAATGTTCACAGTGTTAACAGAGATTCTATGAACTTAGAAATAACATTCTTCTAGCCACATGGTGTGGAGCAAATCTCAAAATGAAGACATTATAATATTCTGACATTCTGGAAATGTAACCTATTTTTAAATAATCTGCACATTTTGTGCAGTTGCAAGTGAACAAGTAGGAAGGACTATAACTATTAGTACTGTAGTCAATGAAATACAGCTCTTAAATCAATGAAAGCAGAGTATATGAAACTGTGTTTCTCTTTATTGTCCCACTAAAGAAATGACTGATTTAAAAAATGAAAGACTGATAGCTACAGAATGGTGTTCGCTTTTTTCACAAAATTACTATAATGAACCATTCTGAATGCATATTAAAATGCATGTCTGAAAACAATATTTCATTATAATTTGTTGAATGGATCAGATTCTACAGAAGTTTAGGGAAAGCAAGTAAGGAAAATCCAAAAAATTAAAGAGAAAAAAATAAAAAACAGTAGCTTATTCATTGGCAACCCCAATCCCTTAGTCCACCCATCTATGAAATAAGGACAGCCAAACTAATCACTTCAAGAAGCAGCAAGTCATAGTGCATTATATAAATATAAATGTACAGACATCTTTCTACATATCTTGTTTTTTTTTCCTGGCACATATGCTATCTCTGATGCTTTAATCTGCACAATTTTTTGTTCTAAAACAAAAGCATAATTCAGTGTCTTAGCCACTATCTCTTAAAAAAATTCATATTCAGGAATCAATTTGTAGTACATAATTTATGCATAAAATAATGGCATGATGAGAGTTTTTCTTTGCTCATGGAATTTCAG